GTTAATTTTAACTCGTTGTTTTGGTTTTATGCGATTTTAGAAAATTACGGAACGTATCCCTACTTTTTCAAGGCAAGTAAAGTCTTTTTTTATGCGAATTTTTTATATGCGCTTTTCTGTAGAACGTATCCACCGCATAAAACGAGACCTTACAGTATATAGATAATATGGAATTATATTATAAAAATATAAAATAAATTAGTCTCTCACATTATTTAGTTTTGTTTTATTTATTTATTTATATTTTTTGTGCTCTTTCTTGTGGGAGAGGGCGGGGGCCCGGTAAGAAAAATGTTTATGCCCCTAAAGTAAGTTAATCCGACCCTAACTGGAACAAGTAAAAAGGTACTAGATTAGTACAAAAGTACTAGGTGGAACCAAGGTCTTAGATTTTGTAGATTTTTACATTCTAAGACCTTGAGGTGGAACAACAATGGTTGCCGCCTTTGTAGGCCCGATTCTGTTACCCAGCATCGCCGCTAGAGGCAGCACGATCTAGTATCGCCGTTCCTTCCGCTAGGTCTATAGTAGGAGCATTATCGACTCAATGGAACAGCGTTTGTTAATTAATGACGTCGTCAAACTTATCAGTTTAACTTTGTACTCTTACGTCTACGAAATAACTGTTTTGTTATCGATGCCTGCAAATTGTGACATCAGAGGAACTCGTTAATTGTGCCGTTCTTTAAATTTCATGCATGCGGCGCATAGACAATTGCCGAAGACCTTGTATTAAAATTCAAATATATTTAAATACAAAAAAGAGTATTTATATATTAAATAAAATAAAATATTGTACCGAAATCAAACGGTGTATATAAAACCGAAACGATCGATCACACTAACAATCGACATCTGATAATCGAATGTCAATAATCATTATAAAGACTTAGTCACGTGAACATAATCATCCAATCGATGATGCGTTACCTGTTTTTTTCCCCCACTATTTATTTTTACTCGATGTCTTTTAAAACTCAAAAGTATTTAGGCAATAAAGAAATAAAATTTAATATATTAATCGAACGTTAATTACAAATTAAACTTTGTATATAAAAAACCAAAGGATCGATCAACTCCAACAATCGACATCTGATAATCGAGAGCTAACGATCTCCGATGACGTCGAATGCTAACGCAATATCATCACGTGGCTTTAATTAACCAATCGACGGTGCCGTTACTTTTTTTTCATTTATTTATTTTATTTGCCATCAGTCCAGTTTGTAGTAGCTCAATGCACAGATAACGAAGGAGAATTTCTTTTTATTTTTTAAGTTTTTAAGTAAAAGTATACGCCGAAATCAAGGCATGGAAACGTTATAAATGTATATTTAGTGATTTTATAGCATTTAAAATAATATATTCATGTCGAAATGGGATTATTATTTGCCAAACTTTGGAGTTTGTTTACAAACGAAGGTAAGAATTAGGCCTAAGTACAAGACAAAAGATTTCATCTTATTTTCGTATTTATTTATGTAATTTATAAATATAAGTCGAATATTATTAAATTTAATCATGTTTTAATTACTATTTAATTGATTTTATCTTTGCTGATTGTAATTAAGTTTATGTGCCATATGTTTTCATTATACTAATTTGTATCATTGATTTTAATTGGCTTTTAGGTGTTAAGGCATCCTCTTTCCTTATTGGTTTATTTAAATTTATAGAAAAATAGTAATTTCTTGTATAATTCTACACTGAAGACCCTTCTAGACAAAGGATTTGCTGCTTCCTGCTTGAGATGGGTTTCTTTGACCTATAAATTTGATAGATTACAGCTGTACGCTGTTGAATTTGCCTTTTCAATATTTAAAGGTAGATGTACCCGTTTCTGTGTTGCGAGACAATTTACGGCCGTACGAATGTTTAATTTTTGGAGGAAAACAAAGAAAATAACACTATATGAAGTAGATTTTAAATTATACTGGGCTTTATGTTAGACTGTCAAAAACTTTTATGGACTCTTCTGCGTAAGTTTTCTTCAAACCCGAGGGAAATTCCCCCATTTGCTCCCACTCGATGGCTTTGGTTTTATATATTATTCTTCACTAATAAAGTAAATGTAGTTACGGTTCTTGTTTATTTTTTTTAAATAAGCAACCAGTTTATCTACTTTAAGACAATTTGAAGCAGTATAAATGCTTAATTGGAAGGGAGAAGGGTGAAATAGCGATAACAAAGAATTAACATCTTTGGGTATAATTTGTTCATTAATAAAGTCATTTGTACTTTAATTTCTTAAATAATGTACAAAAGAACTATATTGATAAAGAAATGATATAGTTGTTTAGTTATATTTTTTTTTATATTTTGATTTGGAGGTTGTTCATTTCTATCTGTACTTAGTCATTGACTAGAGTTGCAGACACTCGTTTCTATACATTTCTATTGTTATATATCCACGGAGGCCAAACTATGGCTCTTCTAGACACTTATTGCATTACATATTATGGCCAAACTGATGCTTTATACATATAACATATAAAATACAGTTTCAATAGAATATGCAGCTCTTGTAGGTAATATGTAGCTCCTGTCAAGATTTGGCTGATCCTATTATATATTGTCAATGTATCATACTCATTCTAATCTTCTGCCTTCTATCGGTCCACTTGTTATTGAATGGATAAAACCGAACACGTTGCAGTTTTGCACCTCACCAACAGGCTAGATGCGTGGAGTTTTCCAGCTTTTCTTGACATGTTTAGTGTCAAAATAATATTGCGTTGCTTTGTACTGTCAGTCAAATCCGATCCTACCTTCTATCTTGACTTATAATGTTAGCATATCCCAGAGTCTAGTTCAGGTTTAAACAACATAGACAAACCTTCAAAAATAAATAAAATATACACAAAAATTTAGCACGAGTCTTCAGATTTGCTTTAAATCCTACTGATTATTGCATTTATATATAATTTGTATTAAATCGCAGCATCAAAAGCTTTATTATAAGTTGTAATTGCTTAAATTGACTGGATAAAAAATTTGGTAGCTTTTATCATAATTATAATTTGCTTATCAAAAAATTTACTAATACTTTGTTATTTAGGTAATTAATAATAAATAATTTATGTCAGGTACATACTATGCTTCTAATTAACAGTTCTATTGTCTTGTAAAACTTTATTACAGGTTATTAGCATAGTAAAATAAATATTTTGCATATTTTTATCCAGTCGAGTGGATGTTTCGAGTGCGGAGAATGCATTGGTATCGAGAACAATTGAGAATTCATCATTTTTTTATGGATTAAAAAAACTAATATTTCTAGAGTGCTGCTAAAATTTATAAACCTGTTGCTTCTGTAAACCTGGTTATCATATAAATCAAGTGTCTGTAACCATTCAAGCGTACCTTGCAACACAAGTTGGCATGAAAAATTTGAAATATCATGTTTAATTATTAAACGACTACGTGCTCTGTCGAGTTTGAAACTAAGATTAACTATATTTTTGTCATTCTTTTTAATATAAAAATGGATTTTTATTAATCAAATGATGCACGTATCAATTTTCTTACCATAGTTTTATAAAGCAATAAAAAGCTTGCACACAGTTCTGTTCTTAATTAGAGATTATTCAACTCTATTCTGCGATATGTATAGATTTTATAGCAGTTTTTATAGGTTTGTGCGCTTATTTTCCTGGTGTTTACATAGAAATTTATTGGCTGTCTTCACAATTAGAAGATATTGTCCTAATTTAGAAGTCGTATATTCATTACTAGTATAAGTGTTTTCAGTTTTTTCCACACTCCATGCTTCTAAGAAACTATAAAGAGCAATTATAATAATATATCGATGATTTTTATAACTATTTTCTCAGTTTCTTAACATAAAATATGTGAAATTATACCTGTATAATTGTTATAAATAAATCAAAACATTATGATGTTTAAGCTTCAAGACTTTTTTGATATTGTATAAACTTGACATTTGTTCCAATGTGTTGGAATTTTATAATGTTGTTGTTATCTTATTAGATTCTCAGCTTTATCAATAAGCTGACAAGTTACGTTCAAAGTTCATCCTCTTACGATCAATCATGTGATTTTTAAAATGGCCATTTTTCAGGAAGTAATAAAAGAAACTGCTTGATTTATATGCGATATTATAATTATTATCCTCTTAAAGCACTTAAATTTAATTCCATATGTAAAATTAGAACAAAAAATGGTATCAAAGTTGAAGGAAACTTTATCACAAAAGGTTAGTTAACCCTCCAAACAGATAAGTTGTAAGAATAAACTGATAATTTCTCTTTATTTAATCCTTTGTTGACGATAAATATGATAACATTTATTCAGTAGTTAAAAAATAATTTACAGGTTTAATATCTAAATTTATTGTATTTTCAAATATCTAATTCCGTTAGTAACATTACAGCATGACACTGCATTAAAATGGCTGCTTTCTAGGTCTATTTCTATTGCATTAATTGCACGTTAAACTGCAAGCTAACATGTTATTTATCAGACTTTTCTCTTATTTTGCTAAAAAAAAAATTGCATGAAAAAAGCCATTAGTTTTAGCTTAAGTTTAAGATGAGAGGAAACTGGAGAATATGTAGTCTGTTGTCTATGAATATATGATTAAGGAAAACATCTCAAATAAATTGGTTTCTTTTGAGGTCATGTTACATTCTTCTGCGATAAATATAGCAAAATATTATTATTTTCCTGTAGATATAAAACATATGTATGATGCAATTCAGGCTGAATTTGCATACAAAACCTTAAATTTTTAGTAGTTTTACATGTTGCATTTGTAGAATAGAATCTCATAAATCATTAAGGAAATCAAAAAGCATTTTACTTGTCATAATCAGTATTATGCAATTAGATTTATGAGAAAATTTAAATTTGATTAAAAAATTAACCAAATTTTTCAACGCTAAATCAAGACAAGATAGGTTTCTAAGGATTTAACAGATTTTATGATATAAAGCAAGCATTTTTATTTTGAAATATAAAATAATTAAACAATTATATGCTTCTACCTTTGTATTTAATGCATCATTTATATTCTTTGTAAGCTAGAGTTTAGTTGTAAATGCCTTTTTGAGTATGAAAAAATTTTGCAGTCTAGTTAAAATTAAAATTCATCAATATTCAGTTATAAAAATACAGTTTACATACGCATCTGTATAAATGTATGTTATATTTTATGATTATTTAAATTAACTTGAAGGATGTAACTTCAATCATCTTATACAAGTAGAAAGATTGTACATGATGAGTAGTCTTGATCTTTCCTCAAAACTGCTGCTTATTTGAATATAGGAAAAGGTTGTTTCCTGTTTCCTGTTGCCTACCGTACTCTATAGAGCTTAGTCAAGCTATTTTCGAAGTTTTAAAGTTTTCAAATACTTGCAAGAATCACAATTGGAATATTTCCTTGCGGTGATTGCTTACTGTTGGGCTAGCTTTAATGGATAAAAATGCATAAATAAATAAAAGTCAGAATGTTCTTATTCACAAGGGACTTCATTAGTTACATGTACATTTTTTGAGTCATTTTTGACTCCCTCCCTCCCTCCCTATTGTATACAATTGCCTTTTTCCAAAATCTCCGGGCATTATCACTAAAAAATATCCATAGCTGTATAATATCTTGCCCCCACCTTCCTAATTGAGGGAGGGAGTTGAGGTATTGTTTCTCTTTCTCCCATCTTGTACAACGATGTACTTTTTGCAACCCCTCTCCCTTAAACTGTATTAATAGATAACTCTAATATAAGTATTAAATTTTTATAAAATAAAATTTAAAAATATATAACACGAGACCCCATACTTTCCTACTTTAACATATGATAAACAATGCAATAAAATGCAAAATGCATTTCATAATTTATCGGTGTGGAAAATTTTAATGAATAAAATAACTTAATAGTTATATTTTAAAAAATAATTTAAATTATTCAGTTTTGTTGTATTTGTAAATATTCATAATATGACAAATTAATACTTTGAAAATTCTATATTTTTATTTGATAGTGTGTCAAATACACTAAAATTTTCCCAGTGTGTTATATAATTCTATCACAGAAGTACTTGATTTACAACATAGTTTGATTTTCTATTGTACTTTATTATTTGTTGCATTTACCATCAAACTTGTGTTTATGCTTTCTGTCATCAAAAGTATCAGCTAGTTCAACAATCATTAATTAAGCTATAATAATAATAATAATAAACAATATCTGTGTTCAGTAGAAAGTACATTTTACAAAAAAATTTTATTCATCAATTTGGAATACTTTAAAGCAAATTTTGTGGAAAAAACTGTCATTTTTGGTAAAAATAATGTTTAATTTACTGCATAAAATAATAAAAATGAGCATTATAAATTTAGATTTCACATAATTTAATTTTGTAGAGTACAGAACAATAGCCTAATCTAGTTTTTAATCTGAAAAAAAAAAAACACATTACAAAACCTGCATGTCCGCATTTTTTACTCTTATCATTGACACAAATTCTACTGCGATCCTTTACGTTTGCTTTTAAATCAATCACTTTCCACTCTAATATGCATCAAATATTCAAATTTTCCCTTTTTTTTTTAAAAAAAGTTATCAGAGCGTCTGCATCAGAATTTAATTTGCTCTTTTCCTAAATTAATTCAAGTAGCATTAACTGTAAAGTCTACGGATCGGATGTTTATAAAAATAAACGATTATTTTACCTTATCTGTTTTTTAGATGCTTGTTTCTTAGGAAAAAAAAAACTTTATCTGATTATTATTTTAGACTGTGTTTCTTTTTTTAAAATTTCTTAGTATTTTGTCAGAAAGAAATCCTTAAATTACATTGTTTTATTAAAAATAAAATAAAATGAGAGAATTCTAGATAAGCTCAAATGATTAAAAATTGTCGCATGGTTTGTTTCTCAGTAGTTATCTTGTACTTTTAAACATCTGTTTTTTCACTTAATTTCTCATCCTTGACACTCTTGCACTTATTTTTACTTTGCATTCACCGCATGGTTTGTTTCTCAGTAGTTATCTTGTACTTTTAAACATCTGTTTTTTCACTTAATTTCTCATCCTTGACACTCTTGCACTTATTTTTACTTTGCATTCACTGGATTGTTTACTACAAAGACATAAAATGCTTTTATCGTTAATTTTCTCATTTTTTTTAAGTGTTTGTAGTTAATTTGAAGCATTCTTTTAGTCGTTAAGTCTTAAAAATGTTTTAATTTTCATTTAATTACATTTAATCAGTGTTTAATTGCATTTTATGGTTATTTTAGATCACTTTTAATGCAGTATGCCTTTTTTTTTTTTTAATCGTTAAAAATTTTGTATCTGTTATTTTGCTTTATGAAATCAATTTATTTGAAAATACTTACATCCTCATTTTGTTTTATTGTTACGGCGATAGCAATCATAAATTGTTGTCCTTAATATGCCTTTTTTTTTTTTTAATCGTTAAAAATTTTGTATCTGTTATTTTGCTTTATGAAATCAATTTATTTGAAATTTATATTTATATTTTAATTTCTCTAAATGCAACTTTAGATTTACTAAGATCAAGAATAGGAACAGGAACTGCATCAGATTCTGTCATTTGATACTGATGATATTATATTATATTCATCATTTAAAACAATTTGAGTAATAATTACTGTATTAATAATACCTTTTTCCTGTTTATGATAGCTCAAAATATTAAAAATGTATAAATATTACAATAGGAATACCGTAATAACTTCGTATTAACACCATGTATTTGCAGTTACACTAAGCATTCCTGTCAATAAATCTTGCACGGTAATACTAGCAGAAACAAGTGACCGGGTAAGACTGTTCCAAAACAGTAGATTTGTTAATCGAATATCATTAATAGTACATAAAAATAATCTGTTTGAAATGTTTGTGCATTTTTTTAAAACAACTTGGAAATTTATAATTATATTTCTGTTTTGAAACCATTTTGGATCCGCTGATCCTCATAGATGGTTCCTTGCTATTCAGACATGGCGTTGTGAACTGGATGGTCTGATTGTTATGAAAAAGACCCTCATAATCCCACTACAGTTGTTTTGTTTGCATTTGATCCAGATGACTTTTACTTGTTTCTTTATCTTGTGTGTATTTTTGTACACTCTTCGTCATCTTAATCTTACGTACCTTCACTTCATATTAATGTATCTTATCGTCATTTTGCTTCTTACAGAACACAAGATAGTAATTGTGGGTCTCGATAATGCCGGAAAAACTACGATATTATACCAATTGTAAGTTTCAAATATTTACCAGTTTAATTATAAACTATTTATAAATTATTATTATTATTATTAGTTTTAGTAGACTCGTTCCACTTTGTAATAGTTAAAATACAATTAGGTAATATCTTTGTAACAGTTGAAAAGGAATTAAAACATCAATGAAACTTCAAATTAAATTAATTGTAATATCGTAAAGATAATTAAAATTATTAAATTGACGGAACATAACTGTAATTTGATTTTGTTTGTTAGACTAACGTTAGACGCTAGTTTGTGTTGTAATTACAAAATGATTAGCTTGTGTGCTATAAATAATTTAACAACATTAAATTGTAAATTTTAATATAATCTAATTTAAGAACTGTGGTAATTAATTATCGAATTTTTGCTATTATTTCAGTTTAATGAATGAAGTAGTGCACACGTCACCGACGATTGGAAGCAACGTGGAAGAGGTGGTGTGGAAAAATGTTCATTTTATCATGTGGGATCTCGGTGGACAAGAGACGTTACGGGCAACATGGAACACTTACTACAGTAATGCAGAGGTATTATTTTACAATTAAAAGCATAACTCAAGTGCTTAAGTGTCAAAAGAAAAGCAAAGCATGCAAATTTAGTTTTATTTTTTACATCATTACGTGTTTCTTTGTTTACATAACTGCAAAATCCTCATATGGTTTTAAAGGAGCTCTGTAACTATATAAATAATAACAATATATCTCAAGTAAAACAAGCTCTGTAACAATGATAAAATTATGCCCCTTCTCATCCTTATTCATAGAATGATAGGGACAATATTGAAATTTCAAATGGATCCTACAGAAAAGTATATATTTTTAGGTCCTACAGAAAAAAGACATGAAACTTTTATCTAAAGCATATTTTTATAATGTGTATATTAAATGGACAGTTGAGGCTTTGAGTTGATTCACTTCTTAACATGTATTATTTTTATAAAACTCTAATACTGCATGTTATTTTGGTGGTCACTGTGCACAGATTTCAAATATTCTCTGTTTTGTGTCTTCTCTAAATGTAGGTGGTAGGAAGTATTAGTTTTCCTGTAGAAAGTAATCAAGAGATGATATCAAGTGAAGGAGGTGACTGTCAGATGTCTACAGTCTAATCATCCATTATTGAATTTCTGTTTTAATAACAATATGTATGTGTGACTGGCAAAATATGGAACCTTGCTACCACATTTTCCTTCCTCAGATTTAGATACATCTTTTTTATAGTCAGTCGCACAATTAAAAGGGCAATTTAAATCAATTCAAAGCTTTAACTGTTATAATTTTTAATAGATATGTTATAAAAATAATGTTTTAGATGTAAGCTTCGTGTTTTTTTACCATAAAATCAAAAAATATATACATTTCTGTAGGGTTCTGTTTTGAAATTTTAAATTTGTCCTCCATCTCCCTATGAAAAAAAGGTAAGGAGTGACATAATTTAATCATTGTTGATGTATGAAGAGAATTTAAATCAATAACCATTATTTTAGTTTTTCTACAATCATTTTGTCAAGTTATTCAAATTTTTTAAAAGCATTTTAACATTTACTTTACATAAAATAGATACCGTGTAAATTATCATTAATTATATCATTGATATTATTAGTTTTGTGAGCAAGAAAGATATAATAGAGTTTTGTGAGCAAGAAAGATATATGAGTCTCCAATTTTCTGTAATTTTAATTTCAATTGAACTTTAAAATAGTTTTGATGTAATTTTTCTTCTTTATTCATGCTTGATAATGACACTTTCTTATTGAACACTGCATTAAATTATTAATTTCTAGGTAAAAACATAAACAGATGATTATATTCATAATCTTTTGTATGTTGATTATCAAATATAGTTGTAGAAGCAACAGGAAGAAATAATAATACAAATTCTCATTGTTAAATACCAGGAAACTTATAAAGGAAAATAATTCTGTTTTTATATTTATCATAAAAAAAGTAACTTGTGACAAATAAATCATGCAGGTTAGAGGAAATTTGCTAGGTGGATTATTTTTAGAATTATGAAAAAACTAGTTGATTTTACAAATTATATGTTATACAATGCATTCATGTATTTTATCAGAATTTAGTNAACTCGTTGTTTTGGTTTTATGCGATTTTAGAAAATTACGGAACGTATCCCTACTTTTTCAAGGCAAGTAAAGTCTTTTTTTATGCGAATTTTTTATATGCGCTTTTCTGTAGAACGTATCCACCGCATAAAACGAGACCTTACAGTATATAGATAATATGGAATTATATTATAAAAATATAAAATAAATTAGTCTCTCACATTATTTAGTTTTGTTTTATTTATTTATTTATATTTTTTGTGCTCTTTCTTGTGGGAGAGGGCGGGGGCCCGGTAAGAAAAATGTTTATGCCCCTAAAGTAAGTTAATCCGACCCTAACTGGAACAAGTAAAAAGGTACTAGATTAGTACAAAAGTACTAGGTGGAACCAAGGTCTTAGATTTTGTAGATTTTTACATTCTAAGACCTTGAGGTGGAACAACAATGGTTGCCGCCTTTGTAGGCCCGATTCTGTTACCCAGCATCGCCGCTAGAGGCAGCACGATCTAGTATCGCCGTTCCTTCCGCTAGGTCTATAGTAGGAGCATTATCGACTCAATGGAACAGCGTTTGTTAATTAATGACGTCGTCAAACTTATCAGTTTAACTTTGTACTCTTACGTCTACGAAATAACTGTTTTGTTATCGATGCCTGCAAATTGTGACATCAGAGGAACTCGTTAATTGTGCCGTTCTTTAAATTTCATGCATGCGGCGCATAGACAATTGCCGAAGACCTTGTATTAAAATTCAAATATATTTAAATACAAAAAAGAGTATTTATATATTAAATAAAATAAAATATTGTACCGAAATCAAACGGTGTATATAAAACCGAAACGATCGATCACACTAACAATCGACATCTGATAATCGAATGTCAATAATCATTATAAAGACTTAGTCACGTGAACATAATCATCCAATCGATGATGCGTTACCTGTTTTTTTCCCCCACTATTTATTTTTACTCGATGTCTTTTAAAACTCAAAAGTATTTAGGCAATAAAGAAATAAAATTTAATATATTAATCGAACGTTAATTACAAATTAAACTTTGTATATAAAAAACCAAAGGATCGATCAACTCCAACAATCGACATCTGATAATCGAGAGCTAACGATCTCCGATGACGTCGAATGCTAACGCAATATCATCACGTGGCTTTAATTAACCAATCGACGGTGCCGTTACTTTTTTTTCATTTATTTATTTTATTTGCCATCAGTCCAGTTTGTAGTAGCTCAATGCACAGATAACGAAGGAGAATTTCTTTTTATTTTTTAAGTTTTTAAGTAAAAGTATACGCCGAAATCAAGGCATGGAAACGTTATAAATGTATATTTAGTGATTTTATAGCATTTAAAATAATATATTCATGTCGAAATGGGATTATTATTTGCCAAACTTTGGAGTTTGTTTACAAACGAAGGTAAGAATTAGGCCTAAGTACAAGACAAAAGATTTCATCTTATTTTCGTATTTATTTATGTAATTTATAAATATAAGTCGAATATTATTAAATTTAATCATGTTTTAATTACTATTTAATTGATTTTATCTTTGCTGATTGTAATTAAGTTTATGTGCCATATGTTTTCATTATACTAATTTGTATCATTGATTTTAATTGGCTTTTAGGTGTTAAGGCATCCTCTTTCCTTATTGGTTTATTTAAATTTATAGAAAAATAGTAATTTCTTGTATAATTCTACACTGAAGACCCTTCTAGACAAAGGATTTGCTGCTTCCTGCTTGAGATGGGTTTCTTTGACCTATAAATTTGATAGATTACAGCTGTACGCTGTTGAATTTGCCTTTTCAATATTTAAAGGTAGATGTACCCGTTTCTGTGTTGCGAGACAATTTACGGCCGTACGAATGTTTAATTTTTGGAGGAAAACAAAGAAAATAACACTATATGAAGTAGATTTTAAATTATACTGGGCTTTATGTTAGACTGTCAAAAACTTTTATGGACTCTTCTGCGTAAGTTTTCTTCAAACCCGAGGGAAATTCCCCCATTTGCTCCCACTCGATGGCTTTGGTTTTATATATTATTCTTCACTAATAAAGTAAATGTAGTTACGGTTCTTGTTTATTTTTTTTAAATAAGCAACCAGTTTATCTACTTTAAGACAATTTGAAGCAGTATAAATGCTTAATTGGAAGGGAGAAGGGTGAAATAGCGATAACAAAGAATTAACATCTTTGGGTATAATTTGTTCATTAATAAAGTCATTTGTACTTTAATTTCTTAAATAATGTACAAAAGAACTATATTGATAAAGAAATGATATAGTTGTTTAGTTATATTTTTTTTTATATTTTGATTTGGAGGTTGTTCATTTCTATCTGTACTTAGTCATTGACTAGAGTTGCAGACACTCGTTTCTATACATTTCTATTGTTATATATCCACGGAGGCCAAACTATGGCTCTTCTAGACACTTATTGCATTACATATTATGGCCAAACTGATGCTTTATACATATAACATATAAAATACAGTTTCAATAGAATATGCAGCTCTTGTAGGTAATATGTAGCTCCTGTCAAGATTTGGCTGATCCTATTATATATTGTCAATGTATCATACTCATTCTAATCTTCTGCCTTCTATCGGTCCACTTGTTATTGAATGGATAAAACCGAACACGTTGCAGTTTTGCACCTCACCAACAGGCTAGATGCGTGGAGTTTTCCAGCTTTTCTTGACATGTTTAGTGTCAAAATAATATTGCGTTGCTTTGTACTGTCAGTCAAATCCGATCCTACCTTCTATCTTGACTTATAATGTTAGCATATCCCAGAGTCTAGTTCAGGTTTAAACAACATAGACAAACCTTCAAAAATAAATAAAATATACACAAAAATTTAGCACGAGTCTTCAGATTTGCTTTAAATCCTACTGATTATTGCATTTATATATAATTTGTATTAAATCGCAGCATCAAAAGCTTTATTATAAGTTGTAATTGCTTAAATTGACTGGATAAAAAATTTGGTAGCTTTTATCATAATTATAATTTGCTTATCAAAAAATTTACTAATACTTTGTTATTTAGGTAATTAATAATAAATAATTTATGTCAGGTACATACTATGCTTCTAATTAACAGTTCTATTGTCTTGTAAAACTTTATTACAGGTTATTAGCATAGTAAAATAAATATTTTGCATATTTTTATCCAGTCGAGTGGATGTTTCGAGTGCGGAGAATGCATTGGTATCGAGAACAATTGAGAATTCATCATTTTTTTATGGATTAAAAAAACTAATATTTCTAGAGTGCTGCTAAAATTTATAAACCTGTTGCTTCTGTAAACCTGGTTATCATATAAATCAAGTGTCTGTAACCATTCAAGCGTACCTTGCAACACAAGTTGGCATGAAAAATTTGAAATATCATGTTTAATTATTAAACGACTACGTGCTCTGTCGAGTTTGAAACTAAGATTAACTATATTTTTGTCATTCTTTTTAATATAAAAATGGATTTTTATTAATCAAATGATGCACGTATCAATTTTCTTACCATAGTTTTATAAAGCAATAAAAAGCTTGCACACAGTTCTGTTCTTAATTAGAGATTATTCAACTCTATTCTGCGATATGTATAGATTTTATAGCAGTTTTTATAGGTTTGTGCGCTTATTTTCCTGGTGTTTACATAGAAATTTATTGGCTGTCTTCACAATTAGAAGATATTGTCCTAATTTAGAAGTCGTATATTCATTACTAGTATAAGTGTTTTCAGTTTTTTCCACACTCCATGCTTCTAAGAAACTATAAAGAGCAATTATAATAATATATCGATGATTTTTATAACTATTTTCTCAGTTTCTTAACATAAAATATGTGAAATTATACCTGTATAATTGTTATAAATAAATCAAAACATTATGATGTTTAAGCTTCAAGACTTTTTTGATATTGTATAAACTTGACATTTGTTCCAATGTGTTGGAATTTTATAATGTTGTTGTTATCTTATTAGATTCTCAGCTTTATCAATAAGCTGACAAGTTACGTTCAAAGTTCATCCTCTTACGATCAATCATGTGATTTTTAAAATGGCCATTTTTCAGGAAGTAATAAAAGAAACTGCTTGATTTATATGCGATATTATAATTATTATCCTCTTAAAGCACTTAAATTTAATTCCATATGTAAAATTAGAACAAAAAATGGTATCAAAGTTGAAGGAAACTTTATCACAAAAGGTTAGTTAACCCTCCAAACAGATAAGTTGTAAGAATAAACTGATAATTTCTCTTTATTTAATCCTTTGTTGACGATAAATATGATAACATTTATTCAGTAGTTAAAAAATAATTTACAGGTTTAATATCTAAATTTATTGTATTTTCAAATATCTAATTCCGTTAGTAACATTACAGCATGACACTGCATTAAAATGGCTGCTTTCTAGGTCTATTTCTATTGCATTAATTGCACGTTAAACTGCAAGCTAACATGTTATTTATCAGACTTTTCTCTTATTTTGCTAAAAAAAAAATTGCATGAAAAAAGCCATTAGTTTTAGCTTAAGTTTAAGATGAGAGGAAACTGGAGAATATGTAGTCTGTTGTCTATGAATATATGATTAAGGAAAACATCTCAAATAAATTGGTTTCTTTTGAGGTCATGTTACATTCTTCTGCGATAAATATAGCAAAATATTATTATTTTCCTGTAGATATAAAACATATGTATGATGCAATTCAGGCTGAATTTGCATACAAAACCTTAAATTTTTAGTAGTTTTACATGTTGCATTTGTAGAATAGAATCTCATAAATCATTAAGGAAATCAAAAAGCATTTTACTTGTCATAATCAGTATTATGCAATTAGATTTATGAGAAAATTTAAATTTGATTAAAAAATTAACCAAATTTTTCAACGCTAAATCAAGACAAGATAGGTTTCTAAGGATTTAACAGATTTTATGATATAAAGCAAGCATTTTTATTTTGAAATATAAAATAATTAAACAATTATATGCTTCTACCTTTGTATTTAATGCATCATTTATATTCTTTGTAAGCTAGAGTTTAGTTGTAAATGCCTTTTTGAGTATGAAAAAATTTTGCAGTCTAGTTAAAATTAAAATTCATCAATATTCAGTTATAAAAATACAGTTTACATACGCATCTGTATAAATGTATGTTATATTTTATGATTATTTAAATTAACTTGAAGGATGTAACTTCAATCATCTTATACAAGTAGAAAGATTGTACATGATGAGTAGTCTTGATCTTTCCTCAAAACTGCTGCTTATTTGAATATAGGAAAAGGTTGTTTCCTGTTTCCTGTTGCCTACCGTACTCTATAGAGCTTAGTCAAGCTATTTTCGAAGTTTTAAAGTTTTCAAATACTTGCAAGAATCACAATTGGAATATTTCCTTGCGGTGATTGCTTACTGTTGGGCTAGCTTTAATGGATAAAAATGCATAAATAAATAAAAGTCAGAATGTTCTTATTCACAAGGGACTTCATTAGTTACATGTACATTTTTTGAGTCATTTTTGACTCCCTCCCTCCCTCCCTATTGTATACAATTGCCTTTTTCCAAAATCTCCGGGCATTATCACTAAAAAATATCCATAGCTGTATAATATCTTGCCCCCACCTTCCTAATTGAGGGAGGGAGTTGAGGTATTGTTTCTCTTTCTCCCATCTTGTACAACGATGTACTTTTTGCAACCCCTCTCCCTTAAACTGTATTAATAGATAACTCTAATATAAGTATTAAATTTTTATAAAATAAAATTTAAAAATATATAACACGAGACCCCATACTTTCCTACTTTAACATATGATAAACAATGCAATAAAATGCAAAATGCATTTCATAATTTATCGGTGTGGAAAATTTTAATGAATAAAATAACTTAATAGTTATATTTTAAAAAATAATTTAAATTATTCAGTTTTGTTGTATTTGTAAATATTCATAATATGACAAATTAATACTTTGAAAATTCTATATTTTTATTTGATAGTGTGTCAAATACACTAAAATTTTCCCAGTGTGTTATATAATTCTATCACAGAAGTACTTGATTTACAACATAGTTTGATTTTCTATTGTACTTTATTATTTGTTGCATTTACCATCAAACTTGTGTTTATGCTTTCTGTCATCAAAAGTATCAGCTAGTTCAACAATCATTAATTAAGCTATAATAATAATAATAATAAACAATATCTGTGTTCAGTAGAAAGTACATTTTACAAAAAAATTTTATTCATCAATTTGGAATACTTTAAAGCAAATTTTGTGGAAAAAACTGTCATTTTTGGTAAAAATAATGTTTAATTTACTGCATAAAATAATAAAAATGAGCATTATAAATTTAGATTTCACATAATTTAATTTTGTAGAGTACAGAACAATAGCCTAATCTAGTTTTTAATCTGAAAAAAAAAAACACATTACAAAACCTGCATGTCCGCATTTTTTACTCTTATCATTGACACAAATTCTACTGCGATCCTTTACGTTTGCTTTTAAATCAATCACTTTCCACTCTAATATGCATCAAATATTCAAATTTTCCCTTTTTTTTTTAAAAAAAGTTATCAGAGCGTCTGCATCAGAATTTAATTTGCTCTTTTCCTAAATTAATTCAAGTAGCATTAACTGTAAAGTCTACGGATCGGATGTTTATAAAAATAAACGATTATTTTACCTTATCTGTTTTTTAGATGCTTGTTTCTTAGGAAAAAAAAAACTTTATCTGATTATTATTTTAGACTGTGTTTCTTTTTTTAAAATTTCTTAGTATTTTGTCAGAAAGAAATCCTTAAATTACATTGTTTTATTAAAAATAAAATAAAATGAGAGAATTCTAGATAAGCTCAAATGATTAAAAATTGTCGCATGGTTTGTTTCTCAGTACTTATCTTGTACTTTTAAACATCTGTTTTTTCACTTAATTTCTCATCCTTGACACTCTTGCACTTATTTTTACTTTGCATTCACTGGATTGTTTACTACAAAGACATAAAATGCTTTTATCGTTAATTTTCTCATTTTTTTTAAGTGTTTGTAATTAATTTGAAGCATTCTTTTAGTCGTTAAGTCTTAAAAATGTTTTAATTTTCATTTAATTACATTTAATCAGTGTTTAATTGCATTTTATGGTTATTTTAGATCACTTTTAATGCAGTATGCCTTTTTTTTTTTTTAATCGTTAAAAATTTTGTATCTGTTATTTTGCTTTATGAAATCAATTTATTTGAAATTTATATTTATATTTTAATTTCTCTAAATGCAACTTTAGATTTACTAAGATCAAGAATAGGAACAGGAACTGCATCAGATTCTGTCATTTGATACTGATGATATTATATTATATTCATCATTTAAAACAATTTGAGTAATAATTACTGTATTAATAATACCTTTTTCCTGTTTATGATAGCTCAAAATATTAAAAATGTATAAATATTACAATAGGAATACCGTAATAACTTCGTATTAACACCATGTATTTGCAGTTACACTAAGCATTCCTGTCAATAAATCTTGCACGGTAATACTAGCAGAAACAAGTGACCGGGTAAGACTGTTCCAAAACAGTAGATTTGTTAATCGAATATCATTAATAGTACATAAAAATAATCTGTTTGAAATGTTTGTGCATTTTTTTAAAACAACTTGGAAATTTATAATTATATTTCTGTTTTGAAACCATTTTGGATCCGCTGATCCTCATAGATGGTTCCTTGCTATTCAGACATGGCGTTGTGAACTGGATGGTCTGATTGTTATGAAAAAGACCCTCATAATCCCACTACAGTTGTTTTGTTTGCATTTGATCCAGATGACTTTTACTTGTTTCTTTATCTTGTGTGTATTTTTGTACACTCTTCGTCATCTTAATCTTACGTACCTTCACTTCATATTAATGTATCTTATCGTCATTTTGCTTCTTACAGAACACAAGATAGTAATTGTGGGTCTCGATAATGCCGGAAAAACTACGATATTATACCAATTGTAAGTTTCAAATATTTACCAGTTTAATTATAAACTATTTATAAATTATTATTATTATTATTAGTTTTAGTAGACTCGTTCCACTTTGTAATAGTTAAAATACAATTAGGTAATATCTTTGTAACAGTTGAAAAGGAATTAAAACATCAATGAAACTTCAAATTAAATTAATTGTAATATCGTAAAGATAATTAAAATTATTAAATTGACGGAACATAACTGTAATTTGATTTTATTTGTTAGACTAACGTTAGATGCTAGTTTGTGTTGTAATTACAAAATGATTAGCTTGTGTGCTATAAATAATTTAACAACATTAAATTGTAAATTTTAATATAATCTAATTTAAGAACTGTGGTAATTAATTATCGAATTTTTGCTATTATTTCAGTTTAATGAATGAAGTAGTGCACACGTCACCGACGATTGGAAGCAACGTGGAAGAGGTGGTGTGGAAAAATGTTCATTTTATCATGTGGGATCTCGGTGGACAAGAGACGTTACGGGCAACATGGAACACTTACTACAGTAATGCAGAGGTATTATTTTACAATTAAAAGCATAACTCAAGTGCTTAAGTGTCAAAAGAAAAGCAAAGCATGCAAATTTAGTTTTATTTTTTACATCATTACGTGTTTCTTTGTTTACATAACTGCAAAATCCTCATATGGTTTTAAAGGAGCTCTGTAACTATATAAATAATAACAATATATCTCAAGTAAAACAAGCTCTGTAACAATGATAAAATTATGCCCCTTCTCATCCTTATTCATAGAATGATAGGGACAATATTGAAATTTCAAATGGATCCTACAGAAAAGTATATATTTTTAGGTCCTACAGAAAAAAGACATGAAACTTTTATCTAAAGCATATTTTTATAATGTGTATATTAAATGGACAGTTGAGGCTTTGAGTTGATTCACTTCTTAACATGTATTATTTTTATAAAACTCTAATACTGCATGTTATTTTGGTGGTCACTGTGCACAGATTTCAAATATTCTCTGTTTTGTGTCTTCTCTAAATGTAGGTGGTAGGAAGTATTAGTTTTCCTGTAGAAAGTAATCAAGAGATGATATCAAGTGAAGGAGGTGACTGTCAGATGTCTACAGTCTAATCATCCATTATTGAATTTCTGTTTTAATAACAATATGTATGTGTGACTGGCAAAATATGGAACCTTGCTACCACATTTTCCTTCCTCAGATTTAGATACATCTTTTTTATAGTCAGTCGCACAATTAAAAGGGCAATTTAAATCAATTCAAAGCTTTAACTGTTATAATTTTTAATAGATATGTTATAAAAATAATGTTTTAGATGTAAGCTTCGTGTTTTTTTACCATAAAATCAAAAAATATATACATTTCTGTAGGGTTCTGTTTTGAAATTTTAAATTTGTCCTCCATCTCCCTATGAAAAAAAGGTAAGGAGTGACATAATTTAATCATTGTTGATGTATGAAGAGAATTTAAATCAATAACCATTATTTTAGTTTTTCTACAATCATTTTGTCAAGTTATTCAAATTTTTTAAAAGCATTTTAACATTTACTTTACATAAAATAGATACCGTGTAAATTATCATTAATTATATCATTGATATTATTAGTTTTGTGAGCAAGAAAGATATAATAGAGTTTTGTGAGCAAGAAAGATATATGAGTCTCCAATTTTCTGTAATTTTAATTTCAATTGAACTTTAAAATAGTTTTGATGTAATTTTTCTTCTTTATTCATGCTTGATAATGACACTTTCTTATTGAACACTGCATTAAATTATTAATTTCTAGGTAAAAACATAAACAGATGATTATATTCATAATCTTTTGTATGTTGATTATCAAATATAGTTGTAGAAGCAACAGGAAGAAATAATAATACAAATTCTCATTGTTAAATACCAGGAAACTTATAAAGGAAAATAATTCTGTTTTTATATTTATCATAAAAAAAGTAACTTGTGACAAATAAATCATGCAGGTTAGAGGAAATTTGCTAGGTGGATTAATTTTAGAATTATGAAAAAACTAGTTGATTTTACAAATTATATGTTATACAATGCATTCATGTATTTTATCAGAATTTAGTTAGAATATTTTAAATATTTGTGATTTCAGTGCAGATAAACAACTTTTGTAATTAACAATCATCCAAATTTATTAAGACGTTATCTCAGATCATTGATGTAGTCCTTTGATAAGAAGCTCAAAAATACTTTAACATATTTTTATAAGTATCTAAGCGTCCACACACTCCTGTTGATACCGAATAATTGTTCACTTGAATGAAAGTTGCACGTAGAATTTTAATCAGAAGACTTACAAGATTGGTTGATGTATTAATGTATACAAAACAGGTCAAGGTTATCTCGCATAGTGCAGAAATGTTGTCAGATTGAGGTAGCTGAGACATTACTGGACAATATTATCTTCTAACGAACATCCACAATTACAGGATTAAGGGCTTTGAAAATCCATGAGCAAAGGTGGAACGTGTTTGTGACAGTTCAGAAATTAATGTGTCTTGTGCTCTTAGCAAAGATAGTGTATAGCTCTTTTTCTTTATATGATAAAGGAACCATCATCAATATCATATATCTAGATATACTGAAAAATTCTCATTCCGTAGTTAAATTATGATGACAGAGAAGAGTGCAGATGTGTTGCTTCAACTTGATGAAATAAATTCAAGTGGGGTATATGATGTGTTATGAATGGTACTTCTATCAAACCAAAATGACTATTGAAGGTAAAACTTCATGTGTTTTGATATAAATTAATGCATCAACTGATTATCTTCTGATTAAAATTCTATAAGCTTTTAAAGTTGTAAAATCCTTTTTGAAACATGCTGTATAATGCCTGAAACTGTAGTTCAATGTTATCAATATGCATCACTATGATATATAAAAGGACATATTACTGTGACATACCACTAGACAGATACTTTGTTGTCCTTAGTTTCTCAGATTGAAAATTTGAAACCAATTTTGGGCTTGGATATTTGTATTTGTTGAATTTTAATAAGGATCCTTATGTAGGGAAGTGCATTTCAACACTAATACATTTAATATTGTAACCTTATGTGAAAGCATTTGGTCAATATTTTAATTGAAAGACTTGTATTTGTAAATACTGCTGTTTTTAAAATATAATTTATTGTTTTTTCCAGTTCCTCATAGTCGTGATTGACAGTATGGATCGAGAGAGACTTCTTCTGACAAAAGAAGAATTATGGAAGATGTTAGCTCATGAGGTAATTTGTTTTCAATAATTTTGATCTATAAACGCCATGTTGTTTTCAGTTTGCATATCATTGATATTTATCATTAACTAATTGTTATTAAGAGCATTCATTTGAGAAACAAAAGTAGTTGTTCAAATTAGTCTCAAGAACAGAGTTAGATAGATGAAATCCAAGACCAGATATGGAAACCTTGGGCAGAACGTCCCGATTAACTATATATAAACTTGCGATGCAAACTAGAAGTCACATTATTTCAATTCAGAACTTTCCTCTGAAAGCAGTTAATAGATCCGGCACAAATGTATTGTTAAAGGAAAAAGTATGATATATCGAGGCAACATACTACAGTATTTATTTGAAGTGGAGAGCATATATCTTAAATTAAATAAATTAAAAATTGCAGCCCGACAATGTGACAGTAAATAATTGTACATTAATGATTTGTTTTTCTCTGTGATTCCCTGTACATTCTAGTATTGAATATATTGTTTCTATAAAAGTTCTATGCATCGTTTCTTTTGTTACATTGCATATGCTATAAAGTAAGGCAGTTATTAATATATATTAAATTATCTCTGCATTAACGTACCCATGAGTGTGTCCAATGAGTGTTACTGGGCCTAGATTACGATAGATATAACACACCCATGCTAATCTAGATATAGATAAACATATGCACACACAAATAAAAAAAAAAAAAAACAGAAATATGCAGGCAGACAGACATATGCAACACACTAGGGTTAGCATATTAATATAGTAATTATAAATAAAGTTTGTATTCGGGTCATGTCTTCTGATTATTTTGTAATGCAAATACATATTTATACATTTTTATACAAATTCTAGTTTTATTACAAATAATTATTTTAATAACCATTCATGAAAAATTACATTTAAACTATTTATAAATTATTTGCACTTTTCAGATTATATATTAATAAATTTTGTGACCTGTTTTCACTAAGCGAGCTCTGTAAGTATAAAACTTGTTTTGATAAAATCAAGTTTTCTACAAAAGAAGAAAATTGGGTTTGCTGCGGGTTTCTGACAATATTATTGATAAAGAAACTTTGAGAGAATATAAAAATTGTATTCTCTTTATAAAGAGTAGTAATGTGCATATTCCAAATAAATGCACCTGTTACAATGCAATCATATTTGGGGATACAACATTACAGTAATACCTCGACTTACGTGAACCCAGAGTTACGCGATTTTCAAATCTCGTCGATTTGTCTTTTGTTTGAGCACCACACAACTCTCTGTTACTCACTCTCTCCACACTATTGTTCGGCTTACGTGTTCGGACGTGTCGCGCGGAATCGACACATAGCTACAGTTTATTTCTGTGTTTGTTATATCTATGGAGACTCAGGAGACTCTATATGGTGATTTCTTGTAACTGTGAACGAATCAAAAGACCAGATAAGATTAACGAGAACATTTATTAGCTTACATACATCCGACTTGGATTTTACACAAATTGCGAAATTATACCCCGACTTACGCAGTTATCGCTCGGTCCCACCTATTGCGTAAGTTTAGGGTATTACTGTAATCTTAATGGTAATTTAAGTGCTAATTTCCATTACTTATAGAAATTACGATCTTTCCTAACTAAAGGTAAATAGGACCAACAACTAATGCACATGAGAGAAAATTAGTATTGATAATTCTTATTTTCAATTTGATTTGTATGCAAAAATAATGCATTTTTGTGTGCCTCTCTGGAACTCATTGTGCACATTAACTTCAGTCTGAAGTGACATTGACCTTTTGTTTGATTTTGATCGAAGGAAAGGGCAGTGTTACATTTTGAAATTTTAAAGTTAGTTATGTTTTTTGTGTTATTTCAAACCTCTTGTTTTTCGTCTAGGATTTGACCAAGGCAAACGTCTTGATATTTGCCAACAAGCAAGACTTGAAGGGCTGCATGACACCTGCAGAGATATCCGAGCAGCTCAATTTAACTTCCCTAAAAAAGCACAGGTGGCAGATCCAAGCATGTTGCGCTCTAACAGGCGAAGGGTGAGTGACACCTTTGTTACTTTTAAACTTCCAAAATGTGCAGAGCACAAGTACTAAACTGATTTTTCTCCCCTCCCCTTTTCCAGATTGTATCAAGGACTAGAATGGATTTACTCACAGTTGAAGAACAAAACCTGATTTTTATTTTTACTTAATTCATATCCTCTTCATCATCTCCTGCAATTATAACTTTGACGACAGGCTGTGATATTCTTTGACGGATGGAGTCGAAGTTCTCTATGTGAGGATGATGCAAATCATCCTTTATCAAGTTTAGAAAAACTTATGAGAAAGTAACTTTTGGATTTGGACAAATTTTATAGCCGAAACTATACGAATGCTAAAGATTTTTTGTTTTTTTTTTGAATTTTTGTCGTAAGAGGTAGGAAGAAACGACAAATGATCCGCTGTCTCTCGACAAACCTCTACCTTTACACTTTTCGAAAAATTATTTATCGTGTACAGTTTTATTGGATGATTTTTTTGTCCATGTGGGACCAGTATATAATTTCGAGATTCGTCTCGATATATAAACTTTTTGGAGAGGACTGTATTTATTTATTTTTAGCAATTGTCCTCATACATCGGTTTTCCAGAATATTCCAGAATATGTTTCTTCCCATCTTTGTTTCATACATCCCTTTACTATCTTTGGAATTCCCAAAGTATATCTTTTCCAAATTTTATATCATTTGGAGTTTTAAGATTTGATATAGATATTCATTGTTGGGAGAAACTTAGTCTTTTTGTTTCATTCCGCTTTAGTGCCGTGAATAACTCTGTCACCGAAATTTTGGCTTGCATCGTCGCTCGTAGCGGACTCTTACTCAAAACACTTACAAATACCTAACAATTTTACACATATTAACCGTAGAGATTGTCTTAACTTTTGCACGAAACACTTCGGATCCATCTTAGTTTAGAAAACTAAGAGCAGAAAATGATTACAGAAGCATGAATGATATGCACAATTGCTAAAGTCCACGCAAAAGAGTAGACACCAGCCAGTCTGAGAGGGAAGAGTCTATGTCAAATGAAAGGGATTGAAGGAGAAGTAGTGTTGATATGTGGATTGCATTAATAAAATTTGTAAAGAAAGTAAAACAATAAAATTATTTTTGGTACAGATAGTATAAAAACGTTTTAAAAATGTAAAAAAAACAAAACAGGCAAACGATCAGATCCGTGTGTCAACTTTCACACATCTTCCATCCCTTTCATCTAATAGACCCTTCCAGCTTAGACTCAATTGTCTAGTATTTCATTGTGCAGACTATAGTGTAACACCAAATGATTGCCGGACTACATTGGGCTATAATAATGCTACTATTTAACAATTAAACATCAAGTAATTTGGCCTAGAGATGGGCATTAGGCACCATCTCAGAATAAATTTAATTGCTATTGTAACTTTGTACAGAAAGGTTTCCTTGTTATGTCTCATTCGGGTCTCATAAATTCTCATAAACATATCAAAAACAAAAAAAAAAAAAAAACGTGGAAAGTTGTAAATAATTCCATCTTTGTCACTTCCGGTTGCATTTTGATGCAAAGCGCTCAAAGGAACTTGCATAGAGAATGCAAGTTTCACTCGAACATTCTCAAATATTTTAAACAATTCTTTGATGGTGTTTCGAAGTAGTAAACATATTTTGTATCACTTCTGGTGAAAATATATACTTTGGGAAAGCACCGAAACATGCACTCGTTTTTCATTTTTAGGTCATAAAATTCTAGATAGATATTTTAAAAATTTATTTTGCCAATATTAATTCACGAGCACGGCGCACCAAAATATTTTTGCGACATTTTAAAATAATGGAAAAGAAATTTATTTTAGTAGAGATATGTATATTTTACCGATATATATTTTGTTTAATGACCGTCAAAGTAAACTCGCATCGATATTCCTTGTGGGAACTTTTGGTTTTTGAGAATCTCTTGCATTCTGCTGAGAAAATCTGCAAACAAGAATTTGACTGTTGCACTACATTTCTGGATGGTCCGCAAAGAGAGTAGCTACCATTTTGCATTTCTCGCTCGCTAACACACTAACGAGATCACCTCAACCTCGTCTAACAAATGATATTGCTGCTGCCAAATCTTATGTGAGAAATGAAGAAACTTTCTCACCTGCTTTGATATACAGAAGAATGCATACCTATGATACACAACGGGGAAACTGCAAAAAAGTCTAGAGAAATACTCAGAATACATATATACTGCCATATTGATATTTATGGAAATATTAGCATTTTAACAAACTACATTTTCGTGGTTTCTCATTTCTGATTTCATTTCTACAGAGTATTGCCCGCAGTGGAGGGCAATATTCTGTAAAATACTGGTTCCGCACAAATTTCTGCTGGTTTTAAAATATTTTTGGATGTTGGTTCTGTGCTAAACCAAACTTTCGGACTTCCAGACGACGCTTTGAGACTTAAATTTGAGTCGGTAACTTGCATTAGAAGTGCATCGATACAGTTCATGCAGATTACACCAGCGAGATCTAATCTTGATTTACACTGCCTCCGCTGCGAGTCATTTGGGCAATATTCACCCAAATCACAGATTCCCAGTATTGCTGTATTGTAAGGTCAATTACAGAAACAAGGTGTAAATCCAAAGGTGTAACTTACTCTTCTCCCGCTTATCGCAGAATTGCGAGTGATTCCAAATATGGAATTGTCTGTGATGCAAGAAATCTGACATACTTTAAATTGTTTGTAACATACTCAAATTGTCCTTCCATTTCTCAATCCCTAGTGTTTTTCTTCTGTTGGTCATGTTAACTTTTTTTGGAATGTTGAATTTTACGATTGTTTCCATTACAATTTTGTCAGTCGTTATGAAATGTAACATACATTGAATTAGATTCATTGCTCTTCTGCTTTTATAATTTATTAATTGAAAACTTAAATTTTCCATCGAAACAATCGAAAATCTTACCAGAAGCTTGTGCAATTCTGAATTTCAGATTTTCATACCCAGATTTGCCACAAACATTACTCTACCATATGCTCAATCTTTACAGCCCGATGCGTATGAAAATGTAAGATAGCGATCGATAAAATAAACTGTTTAATTTTCTGTATTTTACTTTGCAAAATTTCCATCTGTTTATGCATATGTCAGTCAAACACACACTATAAATGATTAGTGCTAAAGCAGCATTGCTCCAGATTTGTTGCTTTGCAACAAATCGTTGGTCTCATAATGAATTTATTCAGCATGGAGGCAAATTCCAAAGCAACATGCTGTCAAAAAGAATATGCAAATTGGATTTGTCGTTGCAAATTTTGCAACATTATTCTATCATCACAAACAAGAATACAAATTGGCATGTGCAACCAATTAACGTTCCACTAAAAATTGAACCTTGTCAAGCTGGTATGAAACAGCACGCTGCAGGATAATCGAAAGTTACGGCTGTGTCGGACATCCGTCACTTCCAACCTGCATAGTTAAGTCAAATCTCAATACCTTGCTCGTCGGGCAGGACAAATTCTCTGAAATTGCAGCTCGTGCGAACGGAACATTAATTTCCAATCCTTTGCAAAACTACACAGAAAGTCTGGGTAAACAAAGTTGCATATGGACAATGCGTGGAATACATACCGTGCTCTGGCAAAATAAGTTACTCTGTGGAAGCGAAACAAAACCAAGGTCCCAAGACCGGTCGTAATTTGATTGCGACGGCAATTTTGAGCAATTTAAGCAGGTTTGGTCAGTTAGCCATTTGTTTTTCGTTCCAAACATCGATCCGAAATACATTTGAACTCTGAAATTATTGGAGGAAGGGCTTCCCTATAGCTAGCGTATAAAAGAATCTCCAAATTAAGAAAAGACGACTCGTCGGTTTGCAGAAATATCATTTTCTTTTCTCGGTATAAACTGTATGTCATTTAAAAATAAAGTATTTTTTAAAATACCTGTGCTTGTGGATCATTTGTGTTGTCATACATTCTGTAAAATGAGTTTAAGTAACAAGTCATTTCGGCTAAATTACCGATCAAGGTTGACATTTTGAACTACCGGCTGCCAATTATTAGTCTGTTGGGATTCCGAACTTTGTCTGTACCCAAGTCACCCGCATCATGTAATGATAGTGTGTATTGTTAATAATTCTTGTCGACACTCAAAAATAATTTATTGAAATTGGAAACACCACACAAAACAATTAATTTCTATTGTCGTTCAACGTGTGCATAAACAAGAAAAGACAGGAAACAAGAGAAGAAGAAAAATTGCAAAAATATTTTGTTAACAGTAATTTATTATTATGGTTTTGCTTGCCGGCTATCGGGAAACCTCACCGTGCGACATGTTGCACTGTGCCGCAAGCAGCCACAAACAAGTTTAATTTTGACTAGTGTGCCTTAACTAGGATCTAAATTGCTGCTTTTATGATTTATTTGTTTGCTCCAACAAGGGATTATCAATAGAAAACACTTGCAATTATTTTTACTGTTAACCCTGAAGTCACTAAACTTCCATGCAGTTGCAGTTGGGAAAATAGTAACAATGTGCACATCCGTAGTCTTTAGAAACGTTGCTCTAAGGATGATGTCACTAGTGCGAGATTAGGTGGGTCCTTAATGTGTAAAATAAATTTTCCCTCCAATTTTTTCACATGAATGTAATGACATTGACATTTACATTTGCATCAAAGTTTCAGTTGGGGGAACTCGGCATTCAGACACTATCAATTACGGCTTTGCACCATATTTTGCTAACGCGCTCAAAGATGAGGTGTTTCGGCAAAGAATTTGTACATTTTGACAAAGTACCGAATAAGGTCCTACGGAGAGGTCAAATGGACTTATTATTTTTAATCTAAAGTACACATACAATACTATGATGGTGTGTGGAGGGCTATGACTATGATAAAAACAATATACTGCAGGTGTCAATGGATGGGCCTAGTATAAACTTAAGATGGTAGATGCTCAAATCGGAGAGGACTATCTGGACGGGAAATGTCTCGCGAACATTGGCAACCATGGTCAATGTATGAAAAACGGGGCTACGAAAACCAGCCTCAAATCTGTTTGTCGGGAACTTTGCGCGTTTCCAAGAGATATTTTCTATTATTTAATTAATGATTGGCGGTCTGTGCAGGTTATAAAGTTCCACTGAAACACTGCAAACCACTCATAACTTTGGAAAATAGTAAAAATGAGCCCAATACACAAATGCAATTTTCCACAAAAATCAGTTTGTGTCGAAAATCAGCACGAACAAACCATTATAGCCCAGATAAAAATTTACTAAGTGACAATAGATGCTGGAGATTAGAAATACCAATCGCCTATGAGATGCCTCTCTCCATTAGATCTGTCAGAAGGCATTGTGAAGATTTCCTTGAAGAAAGGAAAATAGAGAAATTGTCTAAGAGAATAAAATAAACTTCTTTTTAAATGTACCTCTATCGTTACTTTTTATTTACGGTAATTTTGCTTCTAATTTTACAGTCAAAATATAAAAACAAGGTGAGAATTAAAACATTTTGGCAAAGTATACACTTGACGGCCATTGTGCGAGTCGAATATCTTTTAACAACCGGTCGGGAACGTCGACTGTGGGAACCCTGCATAACTAAATTCTAAAGTATTAATGTACCAAATCAACAGGCAAATTGTCCAAAAACTGTTTTATTAAATAATCTTCATTGCTAATTTAAAGTAAAATGTCGGGTTGGCTCAGATGGTGCGGCATTCAATTACGTGCCAATGAACATCAAGTTATTGTTTAACATCCATTCAATTCTCACCGAGTGATCCCACTATAGATTTGCTCATCCCCTTTTAACAAAACAAATACAGTCGACACCCCTATAACACTGTTGATTATTCCGTTTTATATGAATTCCATGTTGTGCAAGTCACTTAGATTTTACAAATACGTGTGCCAGGCTGTGAACGGTTCACGTATTTGTAAAATCTAAGTGACTCGTACAACATGGAATTCATATAAAACGGAATAATCAACAGTGTTATAGGGGGGTCGACTGTAATACAGGAAAATGCTATCAAAACTAATTAAAAAATCAAACTGACATACTAATGTAAACAGAAATTTTGTAATTTTCCTAACTAACAATTACAAAGTTAGATAAAGATAAATTCCATTTTAAACATCCTGATAATAATTTTAGTTGCTTTGAAACATTGTAGAAAAACAATTTAAATATCACAGAATCTAAACAGTAACGATGAACTTTCTCTTACCCTGTGTAAATTCAGGAAACCACAAATAACAGTTAAAAAGTAATGACTTAACTTACCCGTTTCTAGATTAAATATAATTTATCATTGTTCAATTTTCTGGTAAGAAAACAACAGCATGAAGATAGAAAACAGTGAAAAAACCACGTTGTGTGTGCACTCATACAATAATTTTGGTGTAAAGACCGTCCAGATGAACAAGTGGTACCTTTGGATCAGCATAGTAACTAGATAAAGTGCAAAAGACAGGTATCGCATGCACAAGAGGGTGCTTGCACACTTCTGCACGTCTTTCGGCAATCTTCCGGAACCGCAGCCACACTTAAGTAGCGCCAACCTCTGGTGAATCCGAAATACTAACATAAGCAACCAGAAAACAATTCCAGAATAAGTGTTGCTCGCTATTAATATACCGACGAGTACGGGATGGTAGCTGGATACTCCGAGATATCCGGCAGATACGTCTATCGTTGATAAACTGTTAGAGTTACCCTGATAGAAGAAGGCGCACATGGCCATCCATGTATACACTATAGTTATAGATTCTATACTTTTGCTGGCAAGTAATTTTGCAACAAGCTTCTCCTGTAGGATGACACACGCTACTATCATTATGTTGTGGGGACGATGAAGTACGATCGAAAACACTATCCAGCAGTGTACGAGACACCTAAGTAGTTTCCATTTCTCGACGACATAATCGTCTATGTCTCCTTGATACGACTTGCAGAGGTACGTTAAGTACTTTATTGTTATTGTTGCTAGTAAGATGACATAAACCACTTTGATCAAGTAGTTTTGGTCACATTTGTCGATTTTAACAAAGAATGCCAACTGTCCGCTGCAGACTCTGTAGAAGTACACACACAAAATGCATACGGTTAAGAAGTAAGACTGTAAAGATTCTCTGTTACGGACTATCAATAACACGACAAAGATGATAGCCAAGATTACAACTGTCGTAAGCACCAATTTATTCTCCGGAAGATTTAAATAATCTCCGATGTCGGAGAGATGTGCCCATTTGTTACCCGTCTGATTCCAGCTACGGAGGATCCTGTTCAGAACAATCAATGCCAAGCTAGCAACAAATTTGCGATTTTTAACAAATTCATAGTCTAATACTTTGTTACTCGTTGTGCTCTTATTGTATACAGGTAATTCGGTCTTGTTCGAAGAATCTCTCGCAGACACATAACAAGAGAGTTGACAGTTACATTTAAATTCATCACACTCTTCCGATGTTTCAAAAGTTGAGTATAAACATATGATGAAGTAGGAGATTGTAATAAAATACCACGTTTGGTGTTCTTCTTCGATAAAGCTGGACGATAACAGCGATATCACGTACAGTGCAGTACCAAGGACAAGGAATATATTTGTTTCAGATGATAAGATAGAAGCAATTAAAGATACCTTCTTCAGAACACTTAAAGACTTTACGAACAGTAAACTGGAACAGATAAACGTGGCCGACACTAATAGCGTGTTCCAAGAATGAAAAATGACACTTTCTGAAGAGATACGATCCAAAATGTACAAGAACAATAGCGACACAAACACCATTGCTAACTCTTTCAGAGAGAAATCTACACTGTAACAAATCAACAGGTTGTCTTTAGAAAATGTCGCAATGTAACCCCAAAGTGATATTGCAGTCTGCCAACCGATTATAATGGCGACGATCAGAACGGCTACATTATACTTTGTTGCCGAATTTGTCAAGATTTCTCTCGCTCTCTCCATGTATGCCACATACTTTTGAATGATTTGATTGGCTAACGTATTAAGTTCTTCGGCAGGTGCTTTGTTATCGTTCAGAGAGATCCATCTTCTGTGTAGATGAAATGGTTCTATCATGTTAGGTTTGTGAATTAATTCTTCGTTATTTTCAAGCAAATAGTTTAGCTGCAAGGAATTATAATATAAAGCAAACAACTGCTGTTCCATTGTCATCTTTGTCATATTCATGACGTCCTTCATTGTGCGGCCGTAATTATTTTTTGGGATCGGAACACCGTAAAGGATGGACAGCGTCGATGCCATGTCGATTTGAAATACTTCATTCTCGAACTGAGAAACTTTCTCTTCATCCGTCGACAGAATAATAACGGGAACGGAAACTTCCAGTCGTGACACTCCGCCGTGATTTCCCCCAATGCTCATACCATGATCGCCCGTTACCACAATTAAATCAGGTAGAGAACTGTTACGTTTTCTTTGTTTAAGAGCTTTGTGAATCATTTCAATAACACCGTCCATTTCCTGAAGTTTGGGAGGTAGAAGCGGAGAATCCGGACCCGCCAAATGTCCGATGTGATCGACGCCGAGATAATGCAGGAAGAGTACGTCCCAATCCAATGATGATAACTCTGATTCTAAATGTCCTGTTACATTCTTATCCACTTCTGTATAATCGGAGACAAAGAACGAAGTGGTTCCTTCGCTTCGAGCAAAACGATTTGGAAAGAGCCTCAACCAAGTATCGTCACCGTAGAAGACCATTGTCTTGGAATGTTTCGACGCCTGAAAAACAAAGCTGTCTTCGTCCAAAGACTTTGCATTCAGATTAAAGATCAAGTCGACGAAACTCTGCAGGCTTCCCGTCAGCAAGGATTTAATTCTCGGCAACGTGACAGTTGGAGAATGACACCGTCCGACAAATCCTAGCGCCTGCTTGCTACGAATAAGACTCTCAACGTAGGGCATGGTGACTCCGTCAAAGAAACCGCTCTTAACCGAGGGGACAAAATCCGCTCTCAGGGCATCCACCACAACGAACGCCAACTTGTCGACGCTCCGTTTGTAAACGCCATCCTTACGCTGCGAAGACAGGATCTTGTAGTCCGGAACGTCCTGCAGGGTAGCATATCCTGTTGTTACAGTCTTTATAGGTAAGAACCCAGTCAGGAACAGATACATACAAACAGCATTAAGCAGAACAGTAACAATTATCAGGAGGGACAGCCTGAAGTTGTTAATTTTCGATTGATCCATAATATAACAAGTAAATAAGTGTAAAAATGTAGTTAAACACTCGTAAATGCGTCAGAAATACATAAAACAATCGATTTATGTCAATAACACGCCAACCGCACGCACCGCGAAGTCCGCCATTTTTTTTTTTTTTCTTACACGAAACAAGATGGCGTTCGATGCGCCCCGAGGTGTTTTTCATTACGATTTTAGATCGGTAATACATAACAATGATGAATTAATACTAGTAATTTCACAAAAATGATTTATAAAACATCACTTTAACCAAATTACTTTAAAAATAAATATAAATAATTAATGAAGTACGTGTTTGTGTAGGTGGAGCATGTGAGGAAACCACGTGTTCGACTATGGAGTGATGACATCGAGCGTGTTTCTATGTTCAATTTCTGTTAAAATTTTGTTAATTTTTTAAATATAAATTACAAAATAAATAAATTTAGATACGTAATAATAAATTTTTATAGTTGTTATGGCCGAAACCGGTGCCGCACCTATCAAAAAGGAGTAAGTTTTGAATGAATGTTATCGTTTTAAGCCTACTTTTACGTGTTTCTTTATTGATAAACTGTTGATAAAATTGAAAATTTATATAAAACTTTGCATTAAAATAGCAGGAATATGCGTAATTCGACTTAATTTTGTGTTTCTGTATGTTTTAATGTATTAGTTTTGCTTCATTATGGTGAAAGGTATATCATGTATTTTCTTAAGTAATGCAGGACATATCTATCTAGAAATATAAATAGGTTATTAGAATATAACGAAAATAAACAAGAACAGACAAACGTGGAACAATTGGAACAAATCTAAAAGATCCTCCTCCTCTAAGAAACAATCTGTCTTATGTCTGTGCTTAACACAATGCTTCAATGGCTGTAGTGTCTGTTTTTGGACTTGTCAGTCATAGAACTTCTGTTCCTTGCTTGATGGCCGAGTGGATACAACTACCAAATGCTTGGGTGTGAACCCACAACAGAAGAGTGGGCCGTGTGGAGTTTATTTGGGTTTTTTACCTGCCTGTAATGTCTAAACGGGACAGTTTCCCATTAAAAGCCCTCCTGGAAGGCTTGGTAGATTGCACATGTATTGTATTATCAATACAGTAGACCCCCCTATAACGCTTAGATACGTTCCACTTTATAAGAATTTTACGTTGTAGGAATCCTTAAATACATGAGCCAATCACAGCCCGACATGTGTGAAGTTTACGGACTAAGGCTGTTTGAAAGGTTTTCTTCTATAAAATTAACCGATTCTAGACTAATTCCACTCAACATTTCCAAAACACGTATAATTTTTTGGGAATAATCCGTATAAACTATGCTATAAACAAAAAATTGTAGGATTACTTACCGAGTGTGCACCGTTCGACTACGCCGTTGCTCAAGCTTGTTTTCGTCGCGGAACAGCGCACGAAACGGCGGCCGCGATTTCTGATAACGAATTTTTCGCAGAAAAATAACTTGACCTTTGGAGACATCATTAATATAAATAATTTTTATGGCCGTTGAATAAGAAATGTTTCTTTCACAAGAAATGTATAAAATTAGTGCTGTATTAGACTTACGGTACCTAATTTACATACTGTACAGACGATAGTAAACTCGACTTACTTGCCTAAACTCTCCGTAGCGTGATGCTGGACGGCAGAAAATATATATATATATATAATTATAATAAAGTTACAATAAATTAAGTTAATATATAATTATATATACAGTACCTAATTTATATATAATACTGTACAGACGATAGCAAACTGAATTTACCCGCCTAAACTTTCCGTAGTGTGGCACTGGACGGCAGAAAATAGTTCGGCTGCTCATCCACTATTGGTCCAAATTCGACCAATCTTGTCGCGACACGAGTCGGCGACAACGTTTTTCGAGTCCCTTTATATGAATACTGCCGCAATTTTTTTGCTACATTATAAGAATTTCCGTTATAGGAACCCATGTTATAGGGAGGTCGACTGTACAGTTTTTCCTAATGGCTATAATTATAGAAAATGAAATACAGCTCTGTATAAAATTCACCAATTGATATGTATATGAGATGCCTTTCACAGAACAGAAAAAGAATATGACAATGAGTTTGCACATTTGTAATCAATGCTCTTCCCTTTGGTAAATGCTTAAAAGTCTGGGGACATTTGAGATCTAATGTGATAGATGTTACGGGTGGTGTTTGCCGTTCCTGCCACCTCAAAGTTAATTTTCACTATTTGTTTGGTGGTTTAAGCTGCTAAGGACTATTAATGAAGCTGAAAACCATTTTTCAATAATGTTGTTAGACCAGAATTTGTATGAGATTACAAAGGTTGTTATAAATGTCCTTCATATATCTATTGAAAACTGTACTCTAATAGATATGCACGTAATCTTTTTATATATTTAAACATTTATATTTCTTGCAGATTTTTGCTACCAATACCTTGTCGGCAACTTAATTTGGACTACGTCACGAGTTCCGACAAGAAGAAATTACTGTCTGAGGTGGAGCTGAACGGAGAAAAGGAAAAGGGTCCTCCAAGAAAAAAGCTCAAGGGACAGAACAAGAACAGGCCACGCGAAACCAAGAAACCGAAAGCCGACAAACTGTGCCTAAAATTCATTTCCGAAGCGGGATGCCCATTCGGCGATGGCTGCTGCTTCAGTCACGATGTCCGTAAGTTTATGGAATCCAAACCGCCCGACGTGCCGGGATCATGTTATCTGTTTGACACGTATGGTAAGTGCCCATATAGCTTCATATGTAGATTTGGTTCCAATCACATTTCCGACCAAGGTAAAAATGTGATAGACGAGGAAAAGTGGAAGAAATTTGAAGGGATGGTTTTTACAACAAATGTACTAACTAGAGACTTGCAGATTTCTCTCAGGAAGAGAGAATATAATTTTTCCAAGGCCGACAATTACCTGAAATTAATAACCGGTGGCGAATTTCGTCGTCTAATGGGAAGCGAACCCGTCAACTGTGATAAAACCCAAGTACAAGAACAAAATGATGTAAAAGATGCAAATAAATGTGATATTATGAATTTGTCGGCAATAAAAAATGAACGTGCCGAAAACAACGAGAAGACGTTGGTGCTAAAGGCGTGCATTGAAGTTCAACACGAAACGTTGTCAGATTTAGAAAATTTACAAACGACCAAGCAATTATCCGGTTGTGTTACAGACGAAGACGTCATTAAAACTCGCATTAACGAACATCGAAAGGTTTGCAATTCCATTTCTTTGCCTGCAGCCAAAGTTGCTGCAAGTCATTCTGTATCAATTTGATGCAAAACTATTTAGATTTAGATGAAATTTTGGGATTTACAAAGCAAATATTAAGAAAGGAATTCTAACGAATAATCGAGAGGTTATAAAGAATTTAACTAACAATGAGATGATGATAAAATTTCGCTTGTAAATTGTGTCAAATGATACAAAATGACTTTTATTTAAATATTTAGCTTAATTTTAAGAAACTAATTACTGTTGTTTATACTTTGAATGTCAATTTACTGGATATGATGAAGGTTTGGCATCTTCACCTTAGGTGGAAGTGCATCTTCTATACAGTAGTGTTTTGACGATGCATCGAAACACTGCTCATCACCACAAATTGGAGTTTGAATCTGATCAGATTTATAATTTATCATCATTATTTGATGGGAAACAGTATCCTAGAATTTGGTATATAATAATCGTTTTGCAACAAGCAAAACACTTTAATGAAACAGGTTGCACGAAGAAATCTAAAATCGAGTGATTGCTGCAGATTTACATTCTTTTGTGCAACCCATGGCTCGATTTGCAGGTGCATTAAATGTCAAAAAACAGAAAAAACTTTACAATAAAACTATTTTAAACATATATTCTATTCTTTGTATAGATGTAGATGTGTATCCACACGAGTGATTTCACTGTGTGCACATGCAACTTAAAAGATTTGGTATCCAAATCATGCGTGACTGCACAATTTGCGCGCTTGAGTCAGATGTGCTTTTCACTGTGCAAGTCAGACACCGCCGGTCGAGACCACGGGTAAAAATCGTCAGGTGATTTGACATCATAACCAACCAAATGGCTTGCAGACAAATGCAGCAACTGAGAAAATAACAGAAAACTTGCAATTTTTCCGAAATTTTTGATTAAAGCAGTGGAAAGTATGAAGATAAAAACCAATGAAAATATTAATAAATCAATGTTTCGTTTTACACAAAGAACGGTCGTCGGTAATGCGACTGCATTGTCATTTGATTTATTCTTTATTCTTTCCTTCTGATAGTGTACAAATATATGGATATTAACAGTGTGATTATCAGAATTCTGCACGAATTGTATTTTTGCCATTTGGCTTGGCGAAATTGCTTGTGTGGATATCCAACTTAAGAGAAATTAATTAAGTAAAACATCTGAATCAATACTTATGTTTTTTGTTTTGCTTCAGATTGATTTCAAAGGAAAACTTTACTTGGCTCCCTTGACTACGGTAAATAAACCTTTCATTTTATTTATTTAAAGCTTGTTAATAATTTAATAGAAAAACATAGAATTCGTTCACTTTTCAGCATATATTTATGAAATATATTTTTAAAACTTTGTAACCAAAACAAAAAATTTCAAGGTCGGAAATCTTCCATTTCGACGCATCTGCAAAGAATTTGGTGCCGACATCACCTGCAGCGAAATGGCCCTGGCTGTCAATGTCCTACAGGGACAGCAGTCCGAATGGGCTCTACTGAAACGTCACTCTTCCGAAACTATCTTCGGAGTTCAGGTAAGAATCGCCAAGAGAAGTCTACAGATGGATGCATAAGACAGTGCATCTTGTCTGTAAATTCTGTCAATAGCATCTCGTTTACTTCTGTTTGTAAGAGAATCTGTAAATCCTTTGCTGATTCATGTTTTTGTTTCTATTCCTTTAGCTCTGCGGTTCATTTGCAGACATTATGACACGCTGTGCCCAGTTGGTTTACGATAAAACGGATGCAGATTTCATTGATATTAACATGGGTTGTCCAATTGACCTGATTTATCAAAAAGTTTGCCACTTTATTTTCCATTATTGATTTGCAACTCTACAGTACATTGTAACGTGAAAAATTTCTATCAACAGGGTGCGGGATGTGGCATGATGGGCCGCGTTAAGAAATTGGAGGAAATTATATTTGGAATGTCATCTGTAGTACCCATTCCACTCACCGTGAAAATGCGAACGGGCATCCATGAAAACAAGAACATCGCGCATAATGTCATTGGCCGAATGCATAGCTGGAGGGACCGAATCGATCTAATCACTGTAAGTATAAATTTTGATCTCTGTCCTATTGATTTATTTAAGAAACATGTGTAAAGTTTGAAGTTTTGAATGACAAACATTTGTCATCTACTGCATTTCATATTTTAACCTTCAGCAATGTTTTAAGAACATATTTAAAATAGTTCAAGTAGTCTTTAAGTTTTTGTAAATTAAATGTAAATTAGCTGTGAGAACATTTTAAATACTGCTTAAAATTCTTCTCTCGAACTTATTATCGATACGTGTTTCGTGTGCACGAGCCAACCAGCGGTCGAATAGATAGAATTGCCAAACTGGCAATTCTATCTATTCGACCGCTGGTTGGCTCGTGCACACGAAATTCTAATTGTCTTGGGTTTATGCCAAATTACTGAGATAGCTGTGTGGAATTTTCCAAGTTCCAATGTGGAAACATGGAATAGATAACAGCCAGATTAAGTGAATCTGTGTTGAGAGAATTGTTGCAGCAGTGTTTGAGTGGCAACAAGTCAGGAATGTAGGTCAGATGGACAAGGACTTCCCAACAGAAGTATTGCAGTTTCTCTCTACTTGATAGGTGATATGCATAACATGCAAATGTAAAATCTCAACTGATGTAACATCTTTTTCGATCAAATATTTGACGTTAGCACAAGCTTGTTTTGTTTGTATTCCATTGTAATGAAATACAACCAAACAAGCTAATCTCTACAATGCATTGTAGAGGTTAGTTTCTCCAGATGGCACTTATTATAGTGGCATCTGGATGCCATTTACAAGTCCATGTTTTATTTGTAATCCAAAATTATTATTTTTGCTTAAAATTCTTGAAGTCTTTTAATACAGTTTTTAATGAAAAATCAGTGAAAAATAAATATTTTTATTTATATATTGATATTTACTTAAACTTGTCGCATAACTGCAAAAATGTTTCGTTGCAGCTACACGGCCGATCCAGAGAACAGAGGTACACAAAGTTGGCCGACTGGAATTACATCGATCGTTGCGCCAAACTGGCCGACCCCATTCCGTTATTCGGTAAGCACCGTAGAAGTATAAAAATAATTAAGATTAAATAATAATTACAGAGCCAAACTATGATATAAAGATCAAACAAATAGATGTTTAGTTCTCCTATTTTAAATGCATGAATGCTGGGATTATATTGAACTATTTGATTTACTAACTGGTGGCATATAACTTTTACGATATATTTTAAGTATATTTGGACAAATGGAGTAAATTATTAACCTCAGGCAGTTGTACCAACATTTGGTATAAAGTTCAGAACATATTTTAATTAAAATTAATCAAATTGGCTTTAATCTAGTCCAAAAACTGGATTAGATTAGGGTAGATTTAAATATTTAGAAAACATTCTACATATTTTCAACTTACAAAGGAATGGCATCTTGTGGAATCACCAATTTTGAACAGACTTGGTGAGGAAATGGTGCATCCCCAAGGATTGATTTCAGCCAAGCAGTAAGATCAGGCGTGGCCAACATACGGCCCGTCTAATGAATTTATGCAGCCCGCGATTAATCCTTCTTCAACATTAGCTACCGAAGTCCGAATAGCTCGATGAAAAATTCTGACACCTAAAAAAGAAAAAAGGTCAACAACTCACTGTGCGTTTAGAGTTAACCCTCCATTACAAATCTCTTAAGTACAGCGTAGAATGTTGATAAAGCATGATAATGTGAAAAATGTATCTGTAATCTCTATGTACAATTACACCACACCACAATGAGATCTCGCACCACCTCAAAATCTTCCTAGGGCAGCCTCTGGTTCGGTCCGTGAAAAAAGTTTTCTTTCCAATTCGGCCCGGGGGTAAAAACTGTTGGCCACTCCTGAGTAAGATGCACTACTCACAGTTAAATGAGAAAATTAAAGTTGAAAATTGTACAATCATTTAAAATTTTTAATATGTATATCTCACATTCATACTAACGAGATTCACAACATCAACCTGCTGATTATGAAATTGGCACGGAACCACTGACTGCTCTATAAATGATAGAAATTTTAAAGGTTTTAAATGATTGTGCAATTTTCAACTTCAATTTTCTTATTTAATTTTGAGTAGTGCGCCTTACTTCTTTGCTCGAGTCAGTCGTCGGGTATATCCTCACCGAGTTTGATCAGAATTGGTGACTCAAACGTTGTGCTGTCCCTCATTACTTGTCCAGTCTGCGGATTCTTGAAACATTTTTCCACAGCCCAGATGCATGAGAAGGTTGGGAGCTCTTGTGGCAGGAGATAGGTTACTCCTGCCACAAGATTACAAATAAAACGAGCAATTATTCATTGTAACCTCATCACAATGCCAGGCTGCAAGTTGTAATCATATTTTTAATTTATTTAATTTAAAATATATGCTCTCCATCTGAAATTAGTAATGGCTTGCCACTGTACATCATACTTTTCCTCTAACAATAGTGTCATGCCGGTCATTATCTAAAGCCCTGGTCACACTATGCAATTTCTAGCCGCGCAGGCGACTGCAGCTGCAACAAGCGCGAGTCGCGGACATCTTCTCGTGGTCACACATTGTTCATTGACGTTGCAACTTGGAAACACATGACCCTATAATAAACCAATAAAATTACAGTAGCTTATTTTTTACTACTTTCGTGAGTTTGCCGATATTTTACATTCTACTTCAGAGTATTTACGGAATTTTAGCCACTTTTCTTATTAAAATAGCAAGCAGTTCCTTTTCTGGAATGAATAAAAGAAAAAGGGCGATTATTTTAATAGAGCTGGTGAAAATACATGAAAAGATAAAATCTTCGATAAAACGAAGAATTAAAATCCTACAGGTATTCGTGAGCCTGAATAAGCTCAATCAATCTCGATTCTGTAAAAGTATTAATCCTCTGACTATCCGCCATGATGATGAACTATTTTCAATGTTGTCACTGTATGACATGGCATAAAGGCGTTTGTTGATTGGATGCACGTTTGCAATCGTCGCGAGTAGAACAAACTTTTTGTTTCTAGTTGCGATTGCAGTCGCGCCAGTTTTCGAGGGGGATTACTAGTTAATGGAAACAGCCGTTGCAGTTGCAGTCACCTGCGCGGCTGGAAATCGCATAGTGTGACCAGGGCTTAACACCTTTCGGGGGGGAATTTTGAATTGAAATGACATGACTTTCGGTTTGCATCGGAAGTTCTTATATAGTTAATTGGAGCTTCCTGCACTAAGGTTTCCATATCTGATCTTGTCTTTCATCTATTTAATTCCATTCTTGAGATTAAGGAAAATGGACGGATGCCAGCGGGAATTTATAGGTCTACAGTTTTTACAAAATGCAGCCCAATAAAGAATTGTTATCGTGGCAATATTTGGAGAAGGAAATTTCTGGATACACAAAATTTACCGATTCAAATGCAGGGATTTGTCAAAAATTGGGTTCGACTGGCTCTAATCCATCACTAGATCTTCAAACTCTCATATTTGAAAAATATGCATCATAGAAAATTCTGTTTTAAACTTTGACAATTGATTCTTAAAATTAAATTACTCATTCATTTTTACAAAACTGTTTAATAAATTGATATTTATGTTTCAGGAAGTGGAGACATTTTATCATTTGAAGATGTCGACGAAAGATTAAACAACACTAGTATATCTGGTGTGATGATAGCGAGGTAAGCATTTGTTACTTTTCGTTAGTTTCATTCTTAGATTAGGATGTAATCATAAAGAATCCTTTTTTGGAAATTAATTTAAAGTTCAGATTAGAAGGATTTTATCATATTTATGTGAGAGAATATCACAATAATTACTGACAGATGTGATACAATGGTGTGATTATATCACCATATGCTGAATTGTTAGCGAGGTTGAGGCCGAAGTTTTAAATGCGAAAACGTGTACGTCGGACGTTCAGTGTCGCTTTCCTGTAAGCCTAGAAGTTTGACAATGGTGTTTGGAAAGTTAGTGGAATCATGCTTGACATTCCAAATGCCATTGTCAAACTACTTGGCTTACAGGAAAGCGGCACTGAACGTCTGATGTACACGTTTTCGCGTTTAAAACTTCGGCCTCAACCTCGCTATTGTGTAGAAATGTATGTTCGACAACTAATTTCTTAACAATTGGAAGTTTACAACCAGTCATTTATCCTGATTATCAAAATTATTGATGCCAACTACAGGTATACCTCGCCTTACGTCGGTAATTGGTTCCAGGAAAGCGACGTAAGTCGAATTTACTTGTCTCCGAATCTACTTGTCACTAGGCTAAACTATAAATTACCATTCCCAGTTCTGTATTTTATTTATTAAAGCATTTTTAATAATATATGGTTAATAAAAATCTATTTTAAGCTTACAAACAAATAAATTTTAGTTTTTAATATAGTACAGAAAAAAGTAATCTAAATTTACGAATGCATGTACTGTAAATACAGTACATACTTGTAAATGTATATATTTTAATATGATTTTATGTGCTTTAAACGCTTTTCTAGTGATATTACGACTTCAATATTTGTGGCGGACAGACGTAAAGTCGAATAAAATGAGTTAAACTTGATTTTTATTTTTCCATATACTTTTTTGACAAACGACGTATAATCGGGAACGACGTAACTCGAAACGACGTAAATCGAGGTATACCTGTATTGTCGTAATTCTTTCATCTGTACCATTAGTTAATATATATTGGATCCAAGAATCCGAACGCAAACTATAACCAAGATCAAGACGGTATTGTATGCATGTATAGCATTCCTAATGTGACGCTTGCATTGTAATTACATATGACTTTTGACTTACCTAAATTTCAAATATTAGCAAAAGGGCAACCATTTTTTAAAATTCAATTATGGTATTTTGTAAAATGATGTATTTGATTTTCATTTATAAAGTTATTAACCTGTTTAATTTGCTAGAGTTTTGACTTTTCAAATGCTTTCAAGGATATTTTACCTCGGGGTTCACTTTTAGTGATGCCACGGATGAGGTGTTCTTGAGAGTACTTAACTATGGTTTTGACTCCCTGGAAATGTTATTTTACCTTTATAATTTTTCTTTTCGTGTATATAAGTTATTCTTTGTAGTTTAATTGTCCAAAGTGAATTAGCCATTGATAAATGGTACAGGTATGTCCTCATTTCAATTACAGAATTGACAGAATTGTTGGCTCCAAGATGGTGTATTGAGGACAGTTTTGTGCCATTTGTATGGAATTTATGTGCAAGATTGAATGGTGTTGGGTTTAAAAATGAAATTGTTTTGTCTTGTAGTCCAATGGCAGCATGGAGTTTCGAGGTTGCTGAAGGCAACAAGAACTTCATCCAGTTTATAGTCAAGGTCTGGCTGGCAACTAACTTTCTGAGCATGGTGTTGGCATAATACAACTCCATATTTACACAGCATGTTCCATACAGGTTTAGTAACACAACTCCAAGTTGAACATAGTTCAGCTTTGGAGCTGTGTTACTAAACCTGTACGCGGATCTTAGTTCAACATCTAGTTGAATGGATGATGAATATGATTAAACTCTACAAAGTCTGCTGCCATCAGACTATAAATTAATGCTAGACCTATGGAAAGTGACATTAATAGAGAGGTTGCGGTGCAAGTTCAAACGTTATTTGTACACAGCAAGCGGAAGTATATGGTTTAAGTTTTAACTCCAAGAAAAAATCGTTGTGGCACACATTCACAACACCACGTGACTCAGTGAACGTTGCGCATTGACTCACAGGAAATTTGTTGAAAAAATGGCAGATACATTTAACATCGAGGCTTACCAGCAAAGGTAAAAAAACAAATTAAACTATTTTAAAGTATTTATAGGATGTTTAATAACACTAATTATTATTAATTAGCGTTGTGTCTCCTACTGTACGATAGGACTATCTCATACGTTTGTAGAGGGAAGTAGTGGCTTGTGTAAATTCAAAAGCAGCTCGGAAAATTAAGTTTTAGAAAATTTACAAACGTATTATGCTGTTGATGGTAGAAGATGCCATGGAAGAACAAACCTACCATAAGATAAGCTATTTATATTATGAAGGCAAATATATGTAAATTCTATAGGCACTTCATATCACTTGCTAAAAAATTGAATAATTTCTGGATTAAAATCATCTGTTTCTTTACAATATTATTCGTAAATGCTTAAATAATCATTATTTTAATAAAACAGGTCATAATTTTAACCCCAAACACAAAAAAAATGAAGTTTAAACTGATCTTTTACTCGCCATGCTAGATGTAGCAAACACCATTATCGACCCGTCCACCATTTACGTTTTGGGCTGAATACGATGGCCGCAACCTCTCTGATATTTCCAAATAATTGAAAGTGAGAAGAAGTGTAAAATGTTTGCCAATCTTTTTTAAATAAACAGGGATTTCTTTATATTCAGAATATTTCTATCAATTTAATTTCATAGAATTCATGTAACAGAATTTTTCTTTCGCTTGATAATTATTGAATTACAAGTTTTCCATCCATGTAACATTTACAGGGGTGCGCTCATAAAACCTTGGATATTCGACGAAATAAAAGAACGGCGTCACTGGGACATTTCTTCTTCCGAACGCTTTGACGTAATCAAACGTTACGTTAATTACGGACTGGAACACTGGGGAAGTGATACCGAAGTAAGTGATATTATTTAATGAAGCACATTTTATATCAATTTAAGTATTTTTCATGACGATGTTTTAAAATTGCAGGGGGTCGAAAAAACTAGACGATTTCTGCTGGAGTGGCTTTCTTTTGCACACAGGTATTTTGATTATTACTGGTAATTTACTAGTTGTTATATTAAGTGAATGTGTGCCGAGTGTTTTGGAAACGATAAAACAGCATTTTGATACATCATATTATAAAATTGATCGAAATATTAACTAGAAAATATTGGTGACCCTGGACGTAGAGGATCAAGAAAGAGAACTGTTGCAATCCAATAATTCCAATAGTGCCATATTGGCCAGAGAAGTTTGGATCTCACAGGTGAAAAATGCAACATAAATACATTGATATAATGATGCAAATATCACCACTTCATAGAAGCAACACTTGGTACGATATGTCATGTACATAGTACACTAAGGAGCCAACCACTGAAACAAGAGATAGGGATTGTTATTAGGCAATATGGCTACTTTACATACGGTTATAGCATAGTTTGGTATTGAATACATATATATTCTCTTTGCAAACTATTTTTAGGAGGAATTTTTTCATAAAAAATGTTCAAGATATAAGAATGTTTATCTTGGCAGCCAACAATATTACTCTTTATTGGCAGATGATAGTAGTAGTAGTTTAGTTACCAAATCCAGTCAACTGAATTTAATACTTAATTCATCATCAGATAGTTGAGGGATAACTGCATATTTAGACATTCATTTTCCACACTTCTATATTTATTGACATTTATTTATCATAATAATTCCTGTTATTGGTTAATATATGTTCTCATATTATGTTTTATTTGCGGAGTTCATTATTAAAGAGAAAACTTTGGTGCAGAAAGTGCGAGTAACCAAATTTGCTGTAAGAAAAATTACATATGGCAGAGATTAGAAATGTGTTAGCAAAATTTATTTGTATAAAAACATGTTTTTATTTTTTACCTAGCCATATTGTTTTAATGTATTTTTCCTTACCATGTTTGCAGTGGTTTTGCAGAATGTAACCCCGTTGTATATTTGATTTAATATATGTTGAAGATAACATGTGTACCCACCATGACAAAGCTTCTGTCATCAAATAATTCAGACACTCACTCCATCCAGATACTCAGTGGAATCGATTAATACTCATGGATAATATGTTTATAAAAATTATTTTCACAACATCAAGTTCTTCAAGTGTGTTTGTGAAACATGTTGATATTGAGCTAAACATAATTATAAATATCCTAACCAAGATCATTTTTATACATCTTTTGAATAAGTTGCGCTAGGATGGTGCGGATTCTTCATAAATAGATTCGCCCTTCAAGTCATTGTCATTTCTTATCATTGCTGAAGATGTCCGTTTGAGTAAAGTGTTGGAGTTTATTTGCTGACTTTGGGTGTCGGTGTATAGTATTTTTGGTTAATCAACACCCAAAACTGGTATTGAGGTATTTTTAAACTGCCTTTTAGTGCTATTGGCCTCAATAAGTGGCTAATGATCTGAAATCATTATCAGTTGTCATTAATGGAACAAGTAGTGGCCAAGTGGACAAAACCACTAAACACTGGTAGTTGGTTGTGGGTTCACACCTGACCAACAACTTTGCCAATAGAGTTTTCTGCATGTGTCTAACACCTAAATAGAAGCCAGTTTTCCATAAAGTCCTCTTAAGAGGTACTCCTCTTGACAGATTGCCCGTGTTGTTGCCTGCCTTATCTATCTAATCTGATTGTCGTCATCAGTCATTGTATGTTGAAACAGTGGGATGAAGATGAATGTTTTATTAATGAACTGCAGAAGTTCATTAATAAAACATTCAATTTTTTCAAATTGTTATTCAGTAAACAGATAATGTTTATTGTGTAGCAATTTGAAAAAAATTGTAAACCTATAAATTTCTACTGTCATCCATCTGTGTGTCTTTCCTTAATCTCAAGAATGGCATTAGACAGATGAAATCCAAGAACAGATAGTTAATTGGGACCTCCTGCCCCCAAGCTTTCCCTATGAGGGTCATTCTAAAAGTAAAGAACGCTTGTTTCTCTAGATATTTTTATTTAAGATAATGAAACAAAACTTATTTCACAACACAGATGATACCTTAACTATATTTCTACATAGTTGCCATACAAATTTTAACATTTGTCATAGCATATCATCATGCCTTCTGTACACTCAGTTACCGCCAAGTTCTTGAAACAGTCATTAATGGCCTCTTTCAGTTTGTTGTCACATCCATAGTGATTCCCGGCTAAAAAATCCTTCAATTTTGGGAAAAGATGTAATCACTCGAAGCCTAGTCCGGCTATAAGAAGGATGTTCAAAAACTTCCCACTTAAACTGCTGAAGCAAGTTCTTCGTCAGTGCAGCAGCATGCGGACATGCGTTATCCTGAAGAAGAACAATGCCTCTGGACAACAATCCCTATTGTTTGTTTCGAACTGACGCTCCATTCATCACATTACTATAAACCTTGGTTATCTGTCTGTAAATTTTGATAGAGCAGACTTTTTTCGCATTCAAAAAGCATATCACACTACGAACCTCATACTTGGTGGGATCTTTAATTTTGTCACACATTTCAAAGTCACACTGTAAATGGTAAACGATGATTGTGGCTCGCTGTTAGCATCAGACTGACGCGAAAACATGGGAAGGTCCATGCCGCGGCAGTGGAGGGTGGTGGGACAACTGTATGGCTTGTCAGATCAAAACGTTCTTTTCTTTTAGAATGACTCTCGTATATATGAACCTCTAATGCAAAATAAAAGTCACATTATTTCAATTCAAAAATTTTCCCCTGTAAGGAATTATATAGATGATAGCATGACTCTGTTGTGAACAGGAAAAGTATTATTTACAGGGGACAAGACATTACTAATTTGAAGTGGAGAGAATATATTTTAAATTAAATAAATTTTAAAAATATGATTAAAAATTGCAACATGGCATTGTGACGATGTCGAAAACGAGCAATTATTTATTGTGATGATGTCACAATAAATAATTGCTCATTTAATTATAATTGGTCATTTTCACAGAAAGGAACCTTCTCGTATCACAAATCAAACCGATAATTTCTCTAACTACAAACATTTACTAATTCTTTTGCCTCTATGTCTTTAATGATATAATAAAGAATTTAACGTATACTAACAAATGAACTCAATTTTCAAATTCTGGAGTTTTATTCTGAATTAAACAACAAATTTTTATCTTTTATCAAACATTTATTGCTTTTTATTTGTTTAGGAAAACCATAATTTAATTGTAATACCAGGTAACAATTGTTTTGACAATGGCAGGTAGTTATTCTTGTTTAGTTCTGCCTGATGTTGGTTACTTGTCATTAGGCTCAAGTGAGGCATCATTTTTGTCTGAAAATTGATTTGAGATTGACACAATTGTCACAATTTAATATGTTATCTAAGAAAGCGTTCCTTAGAACATACTTTGTAGAAATTACCATATAATACGCTTCTGACTGTGGATGAATTGCACATCAGTTTATCGAACATTAATTACTCTTAATGTTCTGCTTGCAAATTTCAAAATAATGAACTGTACAAACTAAAATCAATTGTCGGCTAGTTTTTCTAATGATAACTTTTTTGCAATCAAATCTGGGTTTGTATACATGCAATATTTAATGTTAACCTTTAAAAGTTCATTTGGTGCAGATCATTAAACTTTAAAAACAATAATTTAAAATTTATTAATTAAAATATGTAGAAACTTCACAGGACTGGGATCTTTCAGATAATACAGTGACTCATTTTTGTTTACATTTGTGTTATACGAAGGAACGCACATTTAAAATTTTATGAGCAAGAAATATCGTAATGCAATTACTGTATTTGAAGGTAAATTAATTTACTCAAAATCTAGTAGAATGTTATGTATATATGACCTAGTTTCGTGGCACTACAATCAACAGATGACATAGTGATTTCCAGTAAGGTGAAGAGTTTGCTCTCCATGTATTTTACTTTGTTATTGTTGTACTTAGGTATATTAATGTATAATAAAGGGTAAATAATAAATAGGGAAAACAGATATTGATTTGCAAATGCAAATCAATGTTTTCCCTATTTATTATACATACTGTAAAGTTAAATTTGTGCTGTTACTGTTTTTTGTTCTTCTCATGATTATAATGTAGATTTCAGCAAAATCTAGATTTATCAGACACTGTCCTCAGACAAGTATCCATTAAAACAGTTACTACAGATGGTTTAGTCTTGTGAGAAAGTGTGTGATAAGAACAGAAATTGGAAATATAATATCAGCATTCTTTGGTTAAAGACTAATTAATTAGCATAACTTGGCAATAGCAGTGTTAAAAACCATTTTGTTTTAGAGAAATCTAGAAAAGTTTTGTCCAGGAATGATTTCAAAACTGCAATTCCCATAAGCCATATTATCAATGATAGTATTTATGAATTACATTTTCCGTGATATTTTATTGTATTTACTGCTTACTAGCAGTTACAAGATAAAACTCTCTATTTTATCCATTATCTGGTAGCTGCAGAAAGCAACACTTAATCAAGATAAAAATACATTGATAGGCCTATTGCTATGCTGGGACCAGATGTTTTTGTCCAAATGTAAAGAATCACCAAACACCTGTAATTAGTTTTGGGTTCACACCCAATCAATGGGATGGTCACTTGAAGTTTTCTGGGTTTTCTTCAACATGCATAACACACAAATAGGGGCCAATTTCCAATAGAAGAAGTACAGGTTAATTATAAGTTAATCATTGGGTTTTAAAGTCCTGCAACTTCCAAAGTATCAAGCTGGGATGTCTATGCCAGACATGAAACAAGAGAGAGATTCTACAAATTTAAAACACACCTGTGAAGATTTTCATGAGACAAACCAGCTGGCAAAATGGTGGGCTAGGCAACAGTAGGCATTTCCAATGACTGTTTTCCAGCAGGATGTGGGCTCTGTCTCATTAGCTTACTGAGGTGTGTCAATACCTGAATGCAAACTCCCAAACTGCTAGTGTGTTTGGGTGTTGCAATAGTGATGATTTAGTGCCATACAGATGCCTCCCAGATCTCTGGATCTCACCTCACAATGTGTGATCTTTTCTGTCAGGGTATTAAAGGATACAGTTTGTGTGTTGTCATTACACACACCTTTGACAGAAACTCCATTACAGCTGCAATTATGACCATCCAGGAAAACATGCTACAGTGCATGAGGAAAACTGGACTACTGCTTGTACAGTACATGTGTTCCTTTGGTAACATGACACATCTGTAGTCCTATAACCAGGGCTGTGGAGTCGGAGTCATCAAAAAATCTGCTGACTCCAACTCCCTTTTACTTACCAACTTGTTATGTATATGAAACGTAGTCAGAGTTGGAGTCGGTAGATTTTTACGTGACTCCACAGCCCTGCCTATAACATAAACTTGGGCAGTTTCTAGTTCTTTTAATGTAGCACTTAGTGTTAAATCTGAATTATTGTCAGAAATACAGTTGCTTGATTTGTTTATATTTCTCTTGTATTGCATTGCCCTATCCATTTACCCACATCTGTTAAACTTGGATTTGGCAGTTTCCTTCTGAATTTGTAAAAAGGGCTGGCAGAATTATAATTTAATAAAGTAAATATTACATTATTATAGATGGATACTAGTCCTATCTTCATTGCTTGCCATATCCAATCATTAGGAACAACTATTTTCCATTGCAGAAGCAACCTTTCTTTAGAGGCTATGCCTCTGCACAAATGTGTAAATTGTAATTCTGCCAGCCCTTTTTTACAACGAAATATTATATTTTTAATTGTGTTGGGATTGTCACCTGTGGACATTTTAGACTGTTTTACATATTTGTGCAGAGGCATAGCCTCTAAAAGAAAGGTTGTCTCTGCAATGGAAAATAGTTGTTCCTGGTGATTGGACATGGCAAGCAATGAAGATAGGACTAATAGTCACTGTAATGTAATTTTTATTTTATTAAATTCCTTCTGAATTCTTTATTTACACCACATAGGCATTTCAGGCCTGTGCCCTTTTTTAATCCTAAACCAGAAAATTACATAGTTTTTACTGACATTTAAGAGCTTGTATCACTGAGAAGTCACAATGTGATGTGAATGCAGGAGCTTACCATCCTGAAGTTATTCAGCGCAAAATAACATTAAAATATACAAAAAATATCCAAACATGAATCTTACAATTAATAATGCAACATTAAAACCATGAAGCTTACTGTTCGGCAATAGGCTAGCTCAGGGATGGGCAACCTTTTTCTATGTAAGGGCTGCATTTTGAAACTTTTGAAATGACGCGGGCCGCATACAAAAGAAGAGAAGAAAAATGCTGGTAAATCACAATTATTTATTCGTATATAATTATAAATTAGCATAGGTATACTTAATCTAGCTTCTGGAACTGATGTCAACATAATATATTCGAAATTATTTGGTTAAATATTAGTCACTGCTAGTTTTAAATTAGTTTTGATGCGAGTCTGTTAGCCGGTTTCTTGTTTTAATTTATACTAAATTCATTGTGAGAAAACCTATTCACAAACATAAGTTGTAGAAAATAACGTTTGAATTTTTGCTGCATACTTCCTTGAGCTGGAAAATTGATATATTTATTCATATTTTATGCAACGCAGGCCGCATGCAGCCCGGGGGGCTGCAGGTTGCCCATTCCTGGACTACCTCACAGTTTACATTTCATTTTACTGTTTCGTTTAGTGTGTTGTTGGATAAATAAAGCTTTCTAGATAAAGACATGAATCCTAAGTTAACTTTGAATATATATTACTAAAAAAAGACTCAATCAAATGGATATTATTTTTTTATACTTAAATCGTGCAGGATAATGAAGTTCAAAGGTCAGATTTGTAACCTTGCAATAGAATATCAAGTGTGTTAAATCTCATGTCTTTACATATGAAATGCTTATTGATTTAAATATTATGTCGACAGATTTAGAAAGATTAGAACTGTGTAATTATGTCTAGATGGTTAGGTCCAACTGATGAATTCACATCCTATTATTCAAATAATACATTCTGCAAGAAGCAGCTGTTGTTGTATTGTATAAACATACATAACAGATTGATACTGTATCTGTAGAGAGCATCTCAAGGTATATTAATTAGTGGCTGAGCAGTTAAGGCAGTGTTTTTGACCCTTTTCTAACAGTGGAACCTCCAATTTGGTAAATTTTTCATGCAGCACTACTTTATATACTTCCATACATTACAATGCTACTCACTGCTATATTTTGACACACCCAGAAGTATCGTCATGGCACCCTGGTTGAAAATCAGAGTTTAGGTACTCAAAGTGTTGGCCCACCATCTCTAAAGTATCTGAAGTAATGCAAAATTCAGTGTATCATGCAAATTGTTCTAAGATTTGTAAATTGGAATTTGGTATTCCAATTTATTACAAGTTTCAAATCTCCGCTAATAAGGAATTTTTATTTATTTTTTTTTTTTAATTGTAATTGTGCAATTTCTAAATGCCATTAAATTACAGTATTTAGGCCCTTATTAAAAACCACAAAACAATTATAAAATATTCTGGCTTTGTACTTACAATTTCACTCACCAGATGGCAATACTTAAGTATGTCCATCATCATTAGTATAATTTGTGTGTAAAGTTATGGAGTTTGATTGTATTAATGGTATAATAGCATATTTTATTAGCAAATGGTAGCCCAATTTACTGTGTTTTATCTTTGTATTGCAGATACATACCGATTGGTTTACTGGAGAGACTCCCGCAGAAAATTAACGAACGTCCCTCTCCCTATCGAGGAAGAAACGACTTGGAAACGTTGCTGGCCAGTCCGAGTTGCGCCGACTGGATAAAAATAAGGTTGGTTAATTAAAAATATAGAGATTCTGCATAATAACGTTAAGATGTCGTCAAATTTACCTCTAATAGAAGGGGAAAGAAATAAGCAAATATGGATTAGTGAGTCAATAACTTACCTAGGGTATTCTTCTATATAATAATACCAAAACAAAATACTGCTGGATACCTCGTTAGATCTGCAATTAAAAAGGAAAAAATCTATAATGTAAGCAAATTACCAAAGGAGACTGTACGCTATACAGAAAAAACAGCTCGCGGATACTGCTTGTAGTAAAAAAAAAAAAACTTTAAATTTGTATGTAATTACGTTTGCAGACAGAGTATTATATGGACACAACAAAATAATTTGGTCCAGTGTTACATTCCTATTGCATCCATTAGATGCATAGATATGAGGATTTAATTGATGTTTGATTTGCTCATTTCAGTTTTAATTAATGAACAAATTGGACATAGTTTAACGTCATTTATGATCACCATACCTCTTACGACGGTTACCAGCTTACGAAGAAACATTTCTTTGTTCAGAAACAATATTCTTGGTGGTTTTCTGAGTAGGAGTGCATAGAAGAAACAATTTTATGGGCCTTTTTTTTGGACAGAACATGGGGTGATATTCTTAATATCTTTTTAGCTAGGCTTTAAGCTTATTGGACTATATTCTAAATTGATTTAGACTATGAGAGTATGGGGGGAAGCAACTCTCTGGATGGTTTTTTGGCGTATATTTTGTGAAAGAAATTAATGCTTTTATCATACGAAATTAAATGAAGACAATTTTAACTAACTCCTCAATTTTTTTTTTTTTTTTAGTGAAATGCTTCTTGGACCCATTCCGGAGAATTTCACATTTCTTCCGAAGCACAAAGCAAATGCTTACTCGTGAAATTTGTATATGTACAGATGTTATTTTAGGAACAATTTTTGAATAATAATAAAATCTGTTTCCTGTTGAATTCTGCTTGTTTCTTTTTTTTTTTCTTTCTTTTATTATTGTCTTCCTCCCCTTCAATTCAGATTACCCAAAATTAATTTTACTTGTAGAATTAATAATTAATTAATTTCACTTATCGTAAATTAATTAGAGACGTTATTAAGTCTAGTTTAATAGGATAGTATTTCTATATTTAACGGAACATTCTCTCGCCAGCAGATTAAATTATCATTATTTTTCGTCTCCGATATTCGACAAAAGTTTGATAAATACGCAAATCTGTCTAAAATATTTATAATCTAATTCTGCTTCGGAATTAATTAAAAAATACGATGGCATTTCGGTAGCGTAAAGGTATAAATCATCAATGGCCGTATTAATTTTTATTGTGCAACTACACTAAAGATAAACATCATTCTGATCTGACTGAAAAATACATTGTGAGAGAAATGAATTTCTATTATTGTCTATTTGTATTTTCTTTCTTTTTTTAAAGTAACTTGAATTTAAATTTGTATTTATTAGTACTCTTATTCTATTTTAACATTCAATTATTTACCATTAAAGTTCTTCACTGTTTACTATTTAAACTGGTCTTTGCTTCTTAACTTTCCACTGCTCGCTCAACTCATCTTTGCTCTTAACTAATCATCATTCAATTTCTTAACTAGTCTTAATCATTTTAATTTCTCACTCCTTATTCAAACTTATAAAATTAACTCACTTCCATTGTTTAAGTATTGTATACAACATTAGACTTTCTGTTCTGCTTCTGCTGCTTTATTATAGTTATATTAAATTCCATAAATACAAATTACTCTTGCTCGAGGACTGTCGGATACACTCCATCTCTAAATTTATTCTTTGCATAACTTAAACGTTGGTACCAAAATCATCATTACAGACTTTCGTGTTTTTTCCTACTTCTTGAGAGAACAACAAGTGGTTGTTATCACTTCTTAAACTCTTAGTTATCTCTCAAGAACTGGGTTATTAATTATGAGATCAAAATGCTCTAGAGAGCTTAGTGAAAGATTTAAACACATGCTACATTGAACTTAGGTGTATTTAAAAACTTCTGTAGAAAATATATATAATATAGAAAATTTCTAGATTTCTTTCAGTCACTCAAGAAGAATATGAATGATTTAAACTCTTCATCTCGAGACGCTGGCTTATTAGTTACGGAGAGATCGTGTTACTCCTGAGAGCCAAAGGAGCGAGAAATTTAACCATAGTAAACATATAATTGTTCGCTTTATGTATGTATAATGAAACCCACAAGGTGTGGTTGCATAACAGAATTGTTGCCGAAGCACACAAGATATTTTAATATTTAAAAATTGGTGTAGATTTTATCGTTACCTCCTTCAAGAAGCTACGAGATGCCTGATCTTAATCTTTAACATCTCCTAATTGTTAATGAGACCATACTACTTAGGAGAAATTGTATAATTGTTCACTTTATGTCAGTTAATGGGACTCGAGGCGTAGTTACATAACCGGAGAGAGAGAAAAGACTTCAATCCAGAAAAATTGGTAAAGAATTTGTCTCCCAGAGAAGAGAACAAGTGGTCTCTAACATCTCTCAAGATGCCCTGTCAATTAATTAGGAGAGATCACACTGTCGGGGGGCAGATATACATGCATCTGCCCATTTAACAAAACAAAAGTGTAGTCTCCCTCAAGAACGCAAGCAGCCTATAACACCTCTCAAGATGATGTGTTGATTAATTAAGACAAATCACACTATTGAGGGAAGCAGATTTACTCTTATGTATGCCCACTTAACAAAACTCATAGTTACGTAACATAGGAGAAGGATGGAAGTTTTTAAACAGTTTGGAAGCAGACACTGCAAATGTGTTTACATGAAAGAGAATAGTCATCCATCCATAATCGATCAGTAATGTCGAATGAAATGTGAGTAGCGAGACTACATGGCTAGATCAATTTATTAGAAAGCTTGATATTCAATACACTTACGCATTTTGGGTTCAGATAACGGGAAGTAACCTTACCATTTGCTGATGTAACAGGATAGTATCTTCTCTGGCTGGTGCATTCAAATCTGGAAAAATTTAACGTTATCGAATCAAATCTACACAACTTTTAATAAATATTCATTCATTTCTTTAAACATTCTACGTTAGACTACGTAACGCTACACTGACGTTTACGCTTAAAAAATAAATTACGAAATTTATGTTTAAACCAATCGAATTGCAGCATTTTCACTAATTAGTAAGCTCGTGTGACATCACTAGTGTCGTGAGAAGTTTTATGACGTCGTAACGAGTCTTTTTTACTACGCGAAATACAAACGTTACGCTTTGTCGCTTCGGTTATTTGTGACGTAACGATTGTTGTCGTTTATATTATAGTGTGACGTTTACTAGCGAGGGGGTTGCTTGTTTTCGAATACAATTTCGTGGGAATTTTTCATTCAGGACGTGATGTTTTTAGGTCTTTAATGTTAGAAAAGAGGGGAGAAAAACTGAATATTTTTGCATACTTAAAGCTTAAATGTGTTTAAATCTCAGTGAAATGATTATAATTAAGTATTTGTGCGTGTTCCAACGACGAATGACGCATAATTTTTGCCACTTTACATCAAAAATTAAGCAAAAAGTTAAATCTGTTTAATTGAATTCGTCCGAAACGTCATTAAAATCGTTAAACGAATTTAATTATCAAAAATCGAAGGTATCTAATTAAAACATTCCTTCATTACAACAATAATTAAACACATATGTATTAATTGATCGAATTATGTTTGATATATGACTAGAATTCTTAGCAGAAGCAGCAGCACGATATATGGAGTTACATCGAGTGCTAGTGTAAATGTTTGAATTACCATCTTGTACGTGCGTTTGTCTGTCTGTGTACAGAGTTAGTTTCCATTTGTTGTAGGAAGAGAGAGAGAGAGAAATCAAAGTATTGCCCTCGAGTGTTATTTACACCTATTTAAAAGGGCCCGATAAGGTAAATCAGCATGGCCTCTGGCAGAAGCAGCCTTTATCCCTTTTCTAGTTGGTTAAACAGTTACATTGATTTTCCTCCTAAGCTTCTGATGATTAAGTACATCGACGCAATTACTGTATCCATTCCGGCAAAGATACTCTGCGCGTAAGAGATAGGAACGTTGTCAATTTGTCACCGGGGCGAAACTAAGTTTTGGAAATTTTGTTGATGTTTCTCATTTTAAAATGCCATCTAACCTAATCAGAAAAAGGCTAGAAAAATTGGTGAAGCTGTTCCAATGCAAATTTATCGCCCGTTTCCTCCCCCTATCACGTGTCTGTAACTGATAAAACGTCGTCGTCGTCGTCCCCCTCTACTCCTTTACTGTATAATTAAAGCCGCCTTGGTGTTTGCACGCCAATACTTTCCCCTCTAAACCAATCGTCTTGCGCCTTTTAACAAATGTTTTGTGACATCATAGCATTTTAAATAGCGTCACGGTATGAATTGCGTTCGTTATTTATGACGTCGTGTTGTTTGAAACGAGTTTATTGTGTTTGCTCGTATTATTATAAACCGTTCCATTTTATGACGTAACAATGTTCGTTTAATGAGGCATTTGCTTACGTCGCGCGTAACTGTAAGTTGATTGGTTACATTCGAATTTCAGATAATTAAATTTTAAGTCTGTTACGTTTAAGATATAAAATTTTTTTAATTCTATATTTTATTAATTTAAGAATATTTTAAAGCAATTTTTATAGTAAGTTTCATAGAAAATTATGAAAATGGAGCCTTCTATGTGAAATTTTACACAGATTTAACAAAGAAAATCTTAACAGGGTTTTTAATGTGTTTGATTAACTCAATAATACAGTAAAATTATACATGTTTTAGTAAGTTTCTTTAGTAATTTTGATACAACAATTAGGAAACTTCACAGAGAAGGGCTTTATTTTTATAATTTTTTCTTCAAAATAATTAAAACATGTATAGTTTTTACTGTTGTCCATGAATAAATGCATCTAAAACTCTGTATATTGATAGTTTAACAGAACTTGTATAAAAACTTATCAATTTTAGTTCCTTTCTCATAACAAACATTGTAATTTTTACTGTTATTGATGAATATACAAGATTTTTAATGCCTGTAATTAACTCTTTAACATTCAAACTATTAACATTTTCTTTATGGTATTTTACACATATTTTAAAAAATCAATTAGAGACATTAAAAAAAGCTTGATATTCATCGGGGTGGCTAAAAACTACATGTTTTGTGTACAGTTTTATCATTTTTAAGACATATTTCACCTAGAAAATAATATTTTTTTTTTCTGATTAGAAAATTGAATTTCTATAAAGTAGATCTGTTACTTTAGGCAATATTCAAAACCTGTTTAGTTTTTTGCATCCTATGTTTGCACATTCTTTCATGTTTAAAAAAGGTTTACAACTAAATTTTGAATAAAAGATCTTGTTTCCCTTTAACATTGTGTAAACTTTGCCTCTAGCATTTTATTATTGGAAATTTTTATCATAATAGAAGGAAAATATAGCTTTTTTTTTTTTTTTACTCCCCTCCTTTGTATAGAAAGCTAAGGTACTTCTATCTTCCTAATAAATTGTATGCTTCAATGACTTTCCTATCACTAATTTAAGTGAAAGCTTAATTTTACAACTCTTGTTAATTCGTATAATCTTTACAAAGATGTATCGTATTGCTGGTAATATTTAATTAATTTTTAAGGATTGTTCTGTAGCTCAAAACTGTTAAAAATCGTCAAAAGTTCACAAGGCCTTCGAAAGCTTACCTGCGAAACTTATGATTAGAGTCGTGGAACATATCTTTTCCTGATTTTTAAGGCAATTGTGTCATAAAGTAATACATAATTTCTATATATTAATGGAAACATTCCAATTTAACATTTAATAAGAAGAGAAATTTAAAAAATGCTATCCATTTCTGCATCAGATGGAGGCGTAGTTTGAGATTTCTCGGAGGAAAATTCTAAATAAATTCCAAAAAAAAAAAAAAAAATAGAAATTTAAATTAATTCAATACTGGATAGCTTTAAGCAATTCTTTTGAAAATTTAATTATTATTAAAAATTAAATTGAGATTTGTATGATTGGTAATTTTGATTTATATTGGATACGGGAGTAGCGATGTTATGAAATTTTGAAAATATCACTCCGACAACTCGGATATTTATTTATTTATCGAGATTATGTATTGTAATTGATAATTTTCTGTAATTTTAAGAGAAAATACAGACAAGATATTGAAATTTTGATGTTTCTTAGTTTTAAAAGGCTTTTTACATGCTTATATCCATTTAAAATACTAATAGGCTATCATTAAAAACTTCAAGCTAATGCTTATTTATATTATCAGCTCTTTGATAATGATGATATTCATGATTAAAACTGTTCACAGGACCTACTGTGATACTTGATAATGATAAGATACATTAATAATGATTATGAGATAATGTATCAGAGGGGTGAATTTCAAAGATGTTGAGGTATAACATCTTTCAAACACCTCTCTTTATAAGAGATGGATCTAGGCAGGATAACATACAGTCCTAAGGTGTGACACATATGAGAGATCTTAACTAAATAATTATAAATTTAAAAGTCAGGCCTTTACAGACTTGTAACATGACTAAGATGTTGCTTGCTTAGATTATATATAAATCAGACTCTGAGCTCATAATTTAATTCCTATAATGATTGGACCTGTAAAGAATTAGCTCTTAACTGTTATAAGTAAAATCTGATATTATAATATGCTCCTAAACAATCATTGTGTTTTATTAATAAAGATGTATATGAAATCTCTTCCCTACTAGTAGTGTTATTTATAATGAAAATTAAAGGAAATCAGGTAGTAGCGAAGAAATCAGAGGTAGAGAAGAAGCAAAAAGACTGTATTATCCCAATGAAGAGGTAGGAAGAATCAGAAGCGTAATTTAAAACATAATCTTACTTTAATAATGATGTCTTGTAAACATTTACCATCAATACAGTTTAAAGTCAAACATTTTTCATTCATTATTCCTGAAAACAAAAATAAATAATAAATCGACATCATTTGCATTTTAAATTACTCACAGAAATTTATTAAATTATTAATAATCAAAATTATAATTTTAATAAGCAGGCTATTTATTAATAAACAAAAATAAATTTCTGTCCAAACTCTATTAAATTCAAACATTTTTTTTTTTATTTTTAAAAAAAATTTTGATTAAATTTAATTAGAAAGTTAACCATAACATTAATAAATGATGAGGATAAGTCATATATAATGTAAAGGTGGTTATACTGATTCATTAACTTTATTTTTATAGATAAATAATGTTTGTAACTCAATAAAATTAACAATTAATAAAATAATAAATGTTTAAATGGTTCAGAACTATGTTAAAATTATTAATATCTGTAAGTAAGGCCAAGTCAGCAGTTTTTAAAAGCGGCGACTTGTTTTGTTGCATTGCTATGGAATATTGCAAATGAAAATCTAAAAAATTATCAAAAGATGATATAAAATTTAAAAAAATCATGTTTTGATTGTGTTTATCTAAGTTTTTAAGATTTTTTTTTAAATTAAAGTACCAAATTTACATGCAGAAGATTGCATAGATAGATATGTCAAGAGGAGGAAGAAGAGCGGGAGCACAAAGGAAATCAGCAACTGTGAGTTGTAGGTAAGTGAAAAGAGTGGGGGATGCTAAAATTCTGCTTTTGTTTCAAATATTGACTCTTCTTTATCTGTTTCTCTTTTTCTATTCTGTTAAAATTGAAGAAACTAAAGAAAAATACTTTGGCATATCTTAGAATTTCTAAGAGATGCCAAAAGTATAAACACTTGCTTTCATCAAGTCCTGTGCAAAATTATCAATATAAATTACCTTCAGAAGCAATTTTCAGTTAGTAGTAATGACAAGGACGATAGAAAGTCCCAAATTTAACTAAGAAATTTTGGCCTAATTTAAAATTTCATGTGCCGAGAACGGTAGGTTTAATCCGATAACGTTCACTGCATCTGATTAAAGTTTATTATAAAGAAATTTATCGAGGGAAAAAAGGGACGATGCATTCAGTTTATAATTAATTTTATGCATGCGCTTACCTACATAATGATCACCTGAAGTAATTTACACTTCAACAAAATGTGTTATGAAAATCTACATAGTGTACTAGTTCAACAAATACTCGTATAATTGAGGTAATGTTTGCGAATGGAACCAGTCAAAGCCCTAAAGGGAGGAAGGATATTTTGGAAAATATTCTATATCTTTAGTTTTCCTAAATTTATTCTGCGTAATTATCCTCCGCATTATAAATAATTTATAAATTCATATAGTAAGCTCACTAAATAGTATATTTAATTAAAATATTTATAAATGTCAATTAATCAATTTTTATGCTGTTTAAACAAACATAACTCATTTGGTATTGTCATGTTAAGTGATGTTGACTAATCTTGAATTCGATGCTGGAATGTAAGGATGCAGAAGAGACGTTTGTTGGATTTTTATTAATCTAAAGCAGAAAAAAAAAATGCTGCATGATATAACCATAATTTTAACATTTAATGTGTGTTTTGGGAAGATTTTAAAGATCTCGGGCACTAATTATTATTAATCTTGAAGGGTATATTCTTTTTATCACTTGATAAAAATCTGCAGATGCTGTGGATCAAGTTGTATCCTTCATTTAAAGCTTATTAAACTTCATAACTGCATTTTCCAGTGATTTTTTGCAAGTGTTTTGAGGACGTCGAATGCTAATTATTGTATTTTTTGCAACCTGATCTGAAGTATTCCACTGTCTTATACAGAAAGAATTGGGAACTCATCTTTGTTCAGTTATTTCTTAAATCTCTTTGAGGATATAACATATTTTATATAATTATATCTTCAGTTTAAGTAGCAAAAATTGATTCAAATGTTTGTTTTGAATGAAGTTTTATTGAATTTACCATATACTTGTTCTGTTACAAGCATTGTAGTTAATCAAAATACAGACTCATTGATATAGAAGCAAATTTATGAGTATAATCTGTACATAATTTGTAATTTCTGTCAGTATAGTCTCATAAATTTCCAAAACCGTCGTCGTCATGTATAGTTCAATAAATATAACATTGTAATGAATATACTAAAGCATATGAATCATTGTATTTTCCTGCAAGATTCTAGCATCAAAATCTATGTAAGTGAATCAGCATCTCACTCCTGGACCGATCTTTATATAATATATTGAAAGTGTTTTGAATTACAAGTTTCTTTTACGTGTTTTAAAGTAAAATTACACAAATATTTACAAGAATTTTTAAAGATTAATTTTAAAAACCAGTAAACATGTATCTTAATTTTGATTTATCATTCAAAATTAATCAATGCCAGAAACCTTACAAACCTAGAAACTACTTATTTAAACACTTCCTGAATCCTCAAGCATTTCTGACTTTGAATTTTCTTATTATTTACTAATTTTATAAGAAAATTAACAAAGTTTTGAAGATAATTGTATGAAATTGTGTGTAGTGTATCCAAACATAATTAATTCTCTAATTCTTTGTGGAGTTTCTGAATAATTTATAAATAATTATTTTTGTTAAAATTCAGGTTGGTTCAACTAATAAAATAAATGTTAGCTGTAGAAATTAAAGAAAAGTTTACATTTTTCTTTAGATTTTCCAATTTATTTTCTGCTTAACATTTATTCCTTATCATTCTTTCACTTGTTTTTTCTTAATAAGGCTCATTCATTCATAAGTCCTAGAAATATGAAGAAAATAATGATAAGTTTACAGTTTCCCAGTAGTTTTAATTATCTTTTAACTCTAGAAAATTAAAATTATAAACACGTATATTATAGGTACGGTACTTCAAAAAGGATTTTTAAAGTTAATTTAATTGGTTTAGATCGACTTTTTACACTCTTAAATACGTAAATTAACGCTTAAAATGTTGATTTAAATATCATTCTGATGATTAAGATGATAGAAACGTGTATGGAGCGGGGGAGAAAAAATGATTTTTTGTGTTTTTTTAGGAGATTCATATTGAATTTTTTGTGTTAGATAAATTCGATATTGAGATCTTAACGTGAAAGGATTTTTTTTGGATTGTATGTTGATTTTCTGTCGTGTTACACGTCGCAAACGTCTGCATGCTAGAGGCGCGACCCACAGGCGACAAGTGTAAAAATGAAATGTTACTGCATAGAATGAATGTAGTTAAGTGTTACGCTGCTTTTTTGACACCCTGTATGTGGAAAAAACACGGAGGTTGATGACTTTCACTTAACTAATTTTTACAGTACGTGAAAACTGTATTCTTTTGATGAGTGTAAGACAAGCTTAGGCAGCTTTATAAGTTATATTTGAGGAAACTTTGATTGTTTTACCTTTCTAATACAATGAAAATTCGTTTTTAATACGATAAATTGTTTAAAAAATCAACTTATATATTAAATAAAATGTTACCTACCCGAAATAATTATTAGTTTTTGTGTTAAATGGATTTAGGCTGCGAAAAACATTCAATATTGTCGAATTTAGACAGAGATATTAGTGATTTTTGTACGCTTTCATGACTAAATTCAGGAAGATGTTCAAATTTAAGTCGTAAAAATTGCTGGAGCTTTAACACACTCGCGTTTGGGTATAAAAAATATTATAATTTTAAAGAATCATTCACGTTTTAGTAGAGAAAATGTACAAAATTCAACAAAGTTCACATTTTCAATCATAAAAATGTTCAGGATCCAACACGACGCTCAAGTTTTAGTCATGAAAACGTGAAAAATTCAGGAAGATGCTCAAGTGTTAGTTATAAAAAAACATTAATTTTGTCACAGGAAGAAAGATATATTCCCATAGATGTAACGATAATCAGAAAATAAATATGAGACTAAAACATATGCTTATAATTATATTTCAACTTGAAATTTTCATATATAAGTTCTTTTTTTTAATCTTTAATAATCCTTATTACATAAATTAACTTGGGAAAGAAACACATAATTCACAAATATACATATTTTGATGGTATTTTTTTCCATAAACACATTATTTTTTTCTTTAAATATAGTTTGCAGATGCAGGAAATAATGACAAAAGCATTTGTGAGTATTTTTTTTCTCTGTACAAAAAATCAAATATCCAGTAACACACTGCAGATAAGGAGCGATCTTTTTTTTTTATGTTGCAGAGCACACCTACGAGTTAATTAATTAATTGCGTTAACAGTTCGTAAAATATATTCTTTACATCTTATATGTACAATATTATAAATTTTAACATTAATTAATAACATTTTTATACACGTTTTTAAGCCGTAACGGTAACGTTTAAAGGAGTGGAAGAAGTGCTGATAGCGTGTTAACAGGTTAACATATTAATTTAAACTACAATTATCTTAAGAAATTAATGTTTTATACAATTAAATTTGTTATTTAGAACGTAATTAAACCGTTAGATAAGTTGGAAGAGGAGAAATTAAATGTTGTAAGTGTGCTCTGCGGTATCTTGCCTCATCGATATACGAAAAAATATAAACTAACAGGTAAAAATACACATTTTAAATATATATATATATTGTTTTTCATCAGGACTCAAGTGCGGGTTTATTATATTTAATCATCATTTTTTTGTAGATTGTTCCCCCCTCAGAACACGTGTCGATAGCGACAATTTGTCATCTAGTGGTGGAAGATAGAAACAGGGGAAGAGATTTATCTGTAATTTTATTTAGGTGCTCTGCTTTTTTTTGGACTTTTTGTTTGGGGATTTCGAACGAAATTATATTTTCTGATTATAGTTTTTAAGTCGGTTATTGATGGAGGAAGGATTAGAATAGTGACACTGATATTGAGGTTAATTTTTTATATTCCGTGAGACTCGCAGTCGTTTCTCTTTAGTATTTCCAGGTTATTTTATAGAATTTGACTTCGAATACCGTTGTTTTAGTGCGATAATGCTTTCAAGATGGCGTGAACTTCTTCGGCTATGGCCATTAGAACGAATTCAAACTGGGCCTAGAGATAAGAAAATACAAAATTTATTAATTATTCGTGGTTATAAGCGTGATTTTTGCGTAATAAACGATAATCTACCTTTGTTTTAACCATCCCTCCTCTCTGGTCTCTGATATGTTCCAAAGTAGCGGCTATATCGAGCTCCTTAGCACCTGTATACATAAGTTTTAACAGTTACTTCAGTGTAAATAGTTAAATACAAGTGTTCTGAAGTCAATCTACCTTTAGACATTCTGTTCAAGACCATATCGATGAGACAGTATGTACCAGTCCTTCCAGCTCCATCGCTGAATTGGTTTAAAAATTAATTTATTTTTAAATTAATTTATTAATTTTTAAAGAATTTCAAGTCTCTCTACTCACCTGCAATGAACTACAATGGGGCAAGATCTTCCTCGATACGACTTGTTCACTTTTCTATCAAGAAAAGAAGGAAATAATTACAAAAATAAATCAATTCTTAAAGTCAACAAGCGGAGTAAACATAATATTAAAAGATGATAAATAAATATGTAAACAAAAATATCATCAGCAGAAGGAAAACATTGGAAAGATGCGCAGAAAGTTTGGAAAAAAATAATGAGCCCGAGGACAGAGACGTAAATAATATATGTTTCTATATATATTGTAAATAAATAAGGAGAAAATAAAAAAATTACATTAAAAATGTAATATGTACTTATTAAAAATTGATATTTTTAATATATTGTAACTTCTAAAAGAAAATTACGCAGTTACAATGTACAAAAAAATAGCAAAAATTAAAGGAATTGTAACAGAAAAATAGAAGAGAAACATTTTACAGTATTGATAAAATGAGGAAAATACGTAAACAGAAAAAAATTAATAGAATTGTAAGAGAAAAATGGAAACAGAAGCACTTCATAGTCTGAAGACTATCGAAAAACTGCGAAAACGATATGTAAAAACCGCAAAAATTAACAGAAAAATGAAAAAAGAAACACTTCTGTGTCGAAAGATTGGGAAAAATTCAAAATAGGCAGCAAAAATTAATATAAAAAATGGAAAATAAGCACTTCAGAGCATGGAAAAATTAGGGAAATGCTTAAGAAACCGCAAACATGCATACAGAAATATTGCACTTAAGACAGTCTAAAAAAAACAAGGAAAATAATTTTTTTAAAGAGACTTAAAGATGAAAGTATAGTTTAATATGTTAACAATTGAATCGTATTGTTAAAAATCCCTGAAAATTCTTCATATATATCCATAAATTTTGTTAAATTCCTGTTGAAAGTGGGCACTTTCTACGGTCGGATAATTTATGGACGTAGATAAGTTGAATATAAATGATTTTATGTTTGACTAGCGACCTGGTTGCGTGCACAAAGAAGGTAATATCTTAGTTATTTGCAATCTGTACGCTTTGGGTTTTGTCGTTTTGGAGATTCTCTTCCATTATAAACCATCTTCATTTATTGATTCATGGGTCCTTTTACTTTTAGAAAATGGTTTTCGAGTTATAATCTTAACCTAGAATCCCAAATACTTTCTCCTCCTTTCTGGGTTATTAGAAAAATTTTTCCTTGTAGGATTCTACGTCTCCTTTTTTTTTTTGTTTTGTAAAAAAGAAAGAAATTCTGTTGTAGATGTTCTGGCTGTAACGCTGGAAACAGTAGTACATCAGGGAGAAAGTAGAGAAATAGGAAGATATAGAGATAGGCTCGGTTCCAAGATGTTCCTCCAAGAATTGAAGAGAAACCCCTCTCCACCCATCACTTTTGTGACTATGCAATTTGTCAAAGATCAAAATTGCACCAATCACAAAAATGATAGGCAAAGAGGGGAAAATTGTTAGTGGCTTGCAGATAAAATAGTTGATGCAAAAGGAGAAATGGAAAAAAATGTTAAATGGGAGATACCATTTGAGACGAACTGTCTTGAGAAAATATAATTTATTATTTCGTGACTGTAACGTGATAGGATCCATAGAAATTTGTTTTATTTTACTTTATCTTTTTCCCCCTTATTCCGATTGCTTAGAAATCGTTACTCTGAGGAATTATTAAGAGAATTTGAAGAAAAATATACTCTTACCTTCGAAATTCTAAGATGGCTTTAGTCGAGCTAGGTATGTTATTTTCGGGCCATGCCAAGAAATGAAACTGCGTGACTGTTCTAGTTTCCGATGTTTTCAGGTTTTTCAAGTAGAAACTACGTACTAAATACTCGTCACACCAAATATGTTCTGATACTAAATTAACCTAAGCAATATATATGTCAAATTAACTATTATCTAATTATAAACCCTAAAAACCTGATATCCCATCTTACCTCATACATGTGATACACTTCGCTCCCTTCTTCGGGCCAGTAACGATGACACATGGCCACTCCATTCTCCATCAGACGGGTTAAAGTAACAATAACAACGTTTCCTTGCTCCCAAATCATCTTTAAAACGCATTAACGTGAGCGTAACTGAGTTAAATAACTAGAACGTTTAAGAAGTTAAGAAACATACCTGCCAAAAATCAGCTGCTGTATGCGGAAGAGGGCCTTGCGTTGCGATATAAGCGGGATTCCTCGGATCATGATCGGTCTAGAATTAAAAAAAATCGTATGGAAATTAGATAATTCGGTAATAAATATGCTGGAAAGTTTGAGATGTTTGTAGTAAAGCTGTGTTATTTCAAGTATACGAGTGGCTGATACACACGCATCGTCTTATTCAACAACCGTCAGATGCATAAGATACAATAAATCAAATCACCCACATTCACGTAGGAGAGTTTGTCTTTGATATACATATATATATATATATATTTTGTCTGGTTACATCTCGGAGATATCTTTTTAGTCAGTCTCCAAGGGGGAGAACATTTTTCCATCAATAGTTAGAGAGATAAGTTTGTCTCCTACGCATTATGCTACAATGGAAACCTTTTGTACTGTCATGGACGACTGACTGCCTTTGCTTTATACAAAAATACAATCGATTCAAGCTGAGATTGTTAAATAACCTATGTATTACAATGAATTATAGGGTATATAGATAAGAATCGCCATACTTACAATTGAGCTAGCATTTATGTAGTCTTCGTTGGAGACGTTTGAAAGATCATTGAGTACGACACGGGAATGATCGTCTGGAAACATCAATGCGATTATTTAAAAAATAAAATAAAAAAATAAATAAATAGTCATTATAAATAAAAAGAATATTTTCTTATTTATTCGATATTCTATAAAAGAAAAAATACGAGGAAAGAAAGCTTAAAATTTGAGATTCTTAAGCAGCTTCCAACTGATATTTTCCGATAGATCCGGTGCTTTTTGCACATGACTGGAGGTTATCCAGATTGCGGTAGGAATTGAACACAATTTTATAAATTCGAGTTGAATTTTTTATACTTTTGGGCCCCTTAAACTAATAAAAAGTCACACTTCGCCTCCTCCTACTCCGGTAACAAACCCCGTAACAGCGACAACGCGCTGACTCCTCTTCCATCATCGAGAGGTGCGTTAAATTGAGGGAAACTAACGCTTAATTAAAAATCTGATTTTTAATTGAATCATCGCAATAATTATTTTTAAATTAATTTAGTTTTTTTTCTTTCTGAATATATTTAAAAAAAATGGACGCCGTATAAAGAGATTATGTTATGATAAGTATTTGCGGCCGCAAAATACGGAGATAGTGTGACAGATTGTGATGTATAGTAACCGCAACACCGTCATCTCCGTTATCTAGACACAACTAATCGAAAATACGATTAATCATGTCCGGTTGCGCTACTTGACGCCCTCTGCCTGAGGAGGATTATTAATAACAGATTAGGGCGCCAACAGCCTAGCAAATTAGTCGCTTTATTGAGTCTTAACGCAACCCATCTCGGCCTTCTGACAAAATAATTTCGGATGTTTTAATATATAAATACATGTTGTATACATATAATGAAAGAGGGAAAAAAATGGCGACGATAAATGACTCTAAAATGGCGCCCGAATAGCATGACTTTTTTTTTAAAAAAAATTGTGGCTTTCTAGTACTGTGTGTGCGATAATTTATACAGAACTACGTTTAGAGCATTCTGTATCGTCGGTAGATATTGAGTATTATATGTGCTTTAAATCTACGTATGACTTTATGTGTTAAAAGTCCCTTCATCTTAACCCCTATAAAATGTAAAACTTGTGAAAAAATGTAATATGTAAATTGTGGGTACGATCAGAAACAAAGTGTCGCCTTAACTGCCGAGTTTTATGATAAATTGAAGTAAAAAGCCTTTAAAATCATTCTACAGTTTCCTGGTTTTATACTGTACGTTCAGCTTGACGTTTAGGTAAAGAAAGATTGGGAAGCAGCTATAACAACCCGCATAGGGCACTAGTAAACTATTAAGTTTCCACGTATATATATATATATATATATATATATCCAAACTACTAACTTACAAGGAACCACATCGGGATAGCGATTCTTCTTGACGTTCTGTGGTAAATTAGCAATAGCGGTGGAACAAGGTTCAGCCTCGTAAGCGCACAGAGCCTCCCACTCTCTATCCAAGCGATCTTTATTCTTTAGATGATCCTCCATATATGACTAGAAGACAGAAAAAAATTTTTAATATGAAGCAAATAAATGGAAAAAATAAAAATTTAATAAATTTTAAATAATCTTCCTATAAAATTATGTCGCTACCTTCATAAAAAATAAGAAAAAAAGCACATCAATATTTTAATCATGGTCAGGGCTGTCGAACGTTTCGCTAATATCCCCGATTTTTGTCTATTTAATGTTATGGCAACACTCCGAATGACAAGTGTAATTTATTATGAGGTCCAAAAGATCTCGACAAGTCACTTATCTTCTAATTTATTAAGGCAAAGGAATCTCCAAAGAAGGTTGTTGGCAGGGGGGAACGAGACCGGCGTGATTTTCAATTTCATTAACCTCTGCAAAGCAAACACACCCGAAGCCGTTATTAAAAGAAAATAAATAGCCTTGTATCCATCCAATCCTCTTGCAGAAAAGATCTCCCAACGAAGATTAGTTTTAGTAGAAGGGAGGAGGAAGCTCACAACTTCTACTTCGCTTTTAAAAGTTGATTCCCTTCCTATCAACACTATTTTGGAAGTAATATAAAGATGGGGTACAAATACTTATCGAAGTGCTTGATGGAAGTTTTCAGACCATTCAGGAAATTTAGGTAAATAATTGGACGTCGTCAAAGGGAAGCATTTTCCTTTGATAGAATAGCAACTAAAAGTCAAATTGATTTTTTTTTCCTTCTACTCTTTCCTCTTCTTTTAAGTTCCTCGAAAGTCAATAAGTGTCTCCTAGCGAGATGAATTCCTTAATTTCGAAGTCTGAAATATAATACCGGAATTTAAATTCTGGAAGTTGGATAACCTTCGAAGATGGTGAAGATGATGTGCCCGACGCCTATAATGAACTCATTATAATAAGAATTCCAAGAACTGATTGTTCGTTGTAAGCGTTAGATGCTAAGAAAATCTATTTTCTTTGTCATCCCTACTAAGCTTGTTTATCGTATCTAAAACTTTCAAAAAAAATGTAAACTGGTAGGAAATGTTTTTTCTTTTTTAATATAAATGCTGATTTAATACTTAAAATTTTTGAGAATTGGTCTCTTTAGAGTGGATAATAAACGAAGCTGGTGTTAAATTTGAGGGAAAACTACTAGAAAAGTCGCAAAGAGTAATTAATTTCGCGCACTCAAAAATCTGTTAGATGCTTTAAAAAGGGTTGGGCATTAAAATGAATGTGATATTCGATTCATTAATCACTAGCACGTCCTCCCTCAATCGAAAAAAAATCAATTTTAATACGTGTAAAATGAAAATCTTATATTTTAACACCACTTTAAATACGTAAACCGCACCTCTTTCCACACCACAGTTTTCAGAAATATGAATGATACTTTTCCCTCTCCTCTTCTTCTCCTCCTTTTTTTTCCTTTAGATTTATTAGTGGTTGGGTCTAGACAGACCAAGCAAAGAAAGCAGAAAAGTTGATTTAATGAAATATGGTAGCTGAGAATACTGCAATTGTCATTTCTCATCCGTCAGTGAGAGATGAATAGCAGTAAACTGAACTGTGTGGTATCGTCTGACAACAGTAAAATATTACTTTATAAAATATTAATTCGAAGATGGAAAGGGGAAGAGAGGGTTTTAGTTAAGTGAATGGAACTGCAAAGCGATTTCGAGCCATAACAGAAATATACCAAAAGGAAAACTATAATACTTTTCTATCTTTCTGGTAGAGAGAGTGATGGTCACGGTGTATCTATTTTTACAATTATATCTGCTTTAATGGGTAGGTAATGGAAGTGGGTCTGTAAAGATGTTGTGTCACGTTTACGAGCATAAATAATTATTTGAAAAATCACTTACCAAAATCATATGACCTGTTGAAATGTCCATGTTGGAACTAACCGGTTCTTCGCTCCTAGAAGCATAAAAAAAAAATGCATATTAATACAAATCTTATTGAAAAAATACTCAAGAACTCAGATTTTTATTTATAATAAATAAATAAAAAATCCTGAAACATGGAATGTTCGAAGAATCTTGACAAGGAGAATTGATCAAAGTATATATACGAGTGTATCATTCGTATACATCAACGAGAATTGAAGCGAACAATAAAAATCTCAGCGATTACTTTATATTTTTTCGAAAAATATAGCAGTAAATACATTATAAAAGTCATAAAAATTCAATTAAAATTTAATTATTTTTAATACATCAATTTTAAAGAACACATCCAGAAATTTTACATCATTAGAATGAAGAATCAGTTAGATTAAAGAGACTAAAATATCTTATTTTTTGAAAACAAAGTTTTGTAAAAAGGAGGAGGAGGAGAAAGAAATAGAAAAAGGAAAATAATTAAAGCATTAAAATATATTTTCAACTTGTTAAAGCCTCGAGATTTTCTCCTTTTTTTTTTCTTTCTTGTTCTCTCTTGCTCTTGCTCTCCGTCCTCCCTTTTAAAATGGGAGGATGGAGAACAAGAAATATACCGTATGCTTTAATACCCCCTATGCTACTTTGAACAGTTTTGTAAACGATAAAAATCTATTTGTGCGTGTTCGCATTTTAAAATCCCATCCATTTTCTGACTTAATTAACCATTCTTTACCGAACGAAGAAGTTGAAAAACTGATATTTTTATACTTTACTACATTTGCTACCCAATTTTCACTTAAAGATAGAAAGTGGGGGAGAGAACAGTGAACGTGCCTTTAACACCTTTTAAATTCTACAATAAGGTTCTAACTGATTCTGTTGGAAACTATTTTAACACTAAATGAGAAAGTGATAGAGAAATATAAATAATAAAAGTCTTTCATCGAAATCCGGTAAAAAAATAAATAGAGTTTTAAAAAATTGTAAATAAATTATCTTCCTATTAAACTATGAAAAACTCCAATAAAAATATATTTTCTTCCATCTATTTTTTATTTTTATATATATATTTTTTTTCTTTCTGTGAGTGGAGTTCTTTTGTCCACTATAACAAGCACGACATTCCCAACTGTACTTTAAGTTTTTTGTAATCTGTCTTCACTGTCACAATTCCCGAAATCTTTCAGGAAAATCGACCCAAAAACATTTTCCAAACTTTAATTTTTATCAGTAAGAAGAAGAGGAGGAAGAGTGGAAGAGGAGGAAAGCAGAAAATAAAAAATAGAAGGAAGAAGTATTTAAAAAAATGAATGGAAACGCATGAAGAAACAGAAGTAAAGAAACAGAAAAATGAATTGAAGGTACAGAATAACAGTAGGAAGAAGCGGAAAACAGTATTTAAAAAAAACAGTAAAATAGAAGGAAGAAACAGAAAACAATGAAAAACATAGTAAAACAGAAGAAGCAGAAAAACCAGAAAGAAACAGAAAAATAGATTACGGAACAACAGTAGGAACAGGAAGAAAACAGAATGGAAAAAAAACCAGAAAAACAGAAGGAAGAATCAGAAAAAAGATAAAAAAAAAACAGAAGACGACCTGAAACACTTTCGGTTTCATTTCTATTTCACAAAACGTTCTGTCGAAATTATATCATCAGTTCAGTAACAAATTTTCTCCATTTTAAACACGGAAAAAAAACCTAGAAAAAAATTACATTTCGACGTAACGTTGTTTACGGGAATAAAGAGTAATTCGAGGGAAATTAAAACTCGTTATTTTACCTTATTCCCTCCGGTTTGTATGTATAGAAAACGTTCTACGAAATTACATCTCGGGTGTCCGAGGCAAGATTCCTTCGACTGCTTCGCTAATACGTCTTCCCCCTCCTCCTCCTCTTCTTCTTCTTTTCTCCGCCCCCTCATTCTAATTTATACATCAGGTTGAGCATCTTGAGCAAAACATTCAACAAATCTAATATCGAGTAATCATGGAATGCAAAATTATTATTAAAGGAGTGAGGGGGAATATGCGTTGATGTAATTTCTTGTACTGCTCTGGCGTGTGTTGACGTACCTTATAATTTGTCTTTGCAATTTTAATAAATTCCCTTCGCTCCCTCCCTGCGTTTTTAGACGATAGAGGCATTATAGATAGCTGATTGCCATGATGATGATGAGGTTTGTGACGTATTGTGTGTTTTCTTTACGTTTTATGATTGAGGATTGGGCAGAAGATAAACAGTAGCATTAGAAGTGAATGATATCTCATCATCGCTATATTATATAAGATGTAGTAAGTAATTACAGGTGATGCGAATTGTTTTTTAGATGATAGACATTTTAGAAATTGATGATTGTGATGATGATGATAATGTGAAGTACTGTATACTTTCTTCATGCTGTACAGTACAGTACATATGACGAATGGATAGAGCAGATGTAAAGATAAACTATAGCATCGTCTTTTTTTAGATATTAGAAGTAGTGATGATGATAATCATCATCATCACATGAACTATTGCATACTTTATGTTTTACGTATGCTGAATGGGTAGAGCATTTGTGAAAATGATCAACTAAATCGTTTTTTTGATGATAGAGACATTTAAAGTGGACGACTGTAATGATGTTGTCTGTAAAGTTCGTGTATACTTTTTTTATAGTTTATTATAATAAGTAGGCAGGAGGATGAAAAATGAAGTTTTAATATATTTTTTTAATTGATAGAAATATTAAAAGTGGATGATTGTGATGATGATGGTGATGATGTTTGTAAAGTATGGTGCATACTTTCTTTATGGTTTATGTATGATAAGTAGGTAGAGCGGATGTGAAAATGAACAGTTGCGATCGCTCTTGTAATAAATGTGATGATATGCTTGACAGGAAAGTATATGGGATGCAATTAAAACTATGAGAAATTATACCTCTTGCTGAGTGTGGTAAACAATTTCTATGTTACGAATTATGTTAAATGAAAGTTTCTTTAATTATTGATAGATCTATTTAAAAGTTAAGTTCGAAATTGTTTATGTACGCTTTACAGATTGATCCTTGTCTATCCTTACAACAGACAATACATTAATTTCAATGTTTTAGCCTCTAGAGAATTAGCTTTGTTGGAAATTTCCGGTAAAATTATGGCTAGAATTTTACGAAAACGACTAAATTCGAGGGATTTGATTGTACATTTCGTCTATAGAATGCGTATATAAAGTATAAAGTTTGAAAGATTATTCTTTATAGGATCTGTAAGTAGATTAAGACATTAATTCTACGTAAATAGGATGTAAAATAGTGCTATTCTGTACACACACAAACGTGATTATGAGCAGAATTTACTGTATATTTTGCTTCGTATACAAGAAAAAATGATGATAATTTATTATTTAGAGTTATTTTACCGCTTCCTCTCACATAAAATGTATAAATTTGTGATGTTTTAACGTTGTTTTCTTTGTAAATTAGATAGAAAATATAGAACAAAGTTTAGTATTTTTCAATCTTATAATTTATTTTCCAATTATTTCAATAGTTACCAACTGAAGTAACTGTAAAGAATCAAGTCTAAATGTGTCAATATTCGCACCGAGTCTTCTTTAAAGAGTGATACATCTCTTTTGTCAAAGGTTGGATGCCATGTTACAATCCAATGAAGTAACATGTTTGGCAAAAGAGTGCTTCCTGACAGTAGTTTTTTCCCCTATCCTCTTCCCCACCTCTCTTTTTTTTTCTGTTGGATACAGTCTCTTTGATCCCTTAGATATCTGTATAAATGTCGTTTCAGACTGTAAATTCATTGGGGTGGTAACCATGGATACGGGATGGCGTCATTGTTTACACTCTGCACTTCTAAAGGTGTAAATACCCTGTTTGTTGCCAAGCCTATCTTCCTGTTCTATTTTCCATCTTTTCGAAACGGAACGCTCTATGCAAATAAGTAGTATTTGTGCCTTATTTCAATCCGTGCTCTTGCTCTGAGGCAGGAATTACTTTGCTGGAATGGAATGGTTGGTAAGTGAATGATGTCAATAGTCCCTCCGTTAGTAATTGATGCAAATGGAAATAGCACACAACAGACTTACTCTCAAAGAATGATCTTGATTTTAATTTTGAGGCAATTTTAATTGAAATTATCAAGGCACCAGGCATAAAATAATCCTTCAAACTATATAGGGGCATATTTAAAATCGCATATCTCAAACAGATGATGTGTACTGTACATAAGCCTCGGAGTTAATCAACTACTAAATAAGGCATTCTACTTTTAAATTCGTCTGCATGTCTATCTGTACGTTCTACTTATACCTTTAAAAAGGTATAAATTATGCATGATTTTCTAGAAGATATTTATCATTTGACAACAACACAAGTTAAACATTTGATGGGATACGCTAACATTAAATTTTTTAAGTTTTTAGTCTTTCCATGGCTTATTTTTAGCGACTGAACAGTAGAAAAGTGTGTATGTGAAGATTGGGTATTGTTGTTTATTAAAATTTCATAAGTTTCTACTCTAAAATGTTTACTTTAAAACAAAATGATCGATCTAAAATAAGCTGTTTACGCATTATAACTGAAGAATTTAGCTACCATCGTGACTAAATGCACGCTTTCGGCACTATAAAAGCAACTAAATAGATGAATTCTGTATGCATTATAATGCTGTAGATAAAAAGGAATAAATATAAAACCGGAACTGTAACTGATGAGGGTCTATCGCAATATAAATCAATGATCATACATCATCAAAGTGGATTATCTTCTACTTTGTGTCGGTGCTGTGAAGGTAAAAAGATTCTATATTATAACAGAAACAAAACTAGTAAAGATTTGGGCTTAACAAACTCATCTAACGAAAGTTTCGGATGATGAAACGAATCCTCTGTTAATGCAGTTGTCCTTTAAAATAAGAAGGAAAAAAAAAGAAGAAAAATCGAGTGTCTCTTGTTATTGTATGAATTTTAAACGCTAACTATAACAACATATCTTAACGCTACAAAGGATCTGATGCACGTTTTCTACTTGGCTAGAATATCTACCCAGTTGGAATCAGGCGGAGATGAAAATGTTCGGTTGCAGGTGTCTCGATTCTCACCCTTGTCTACAAAAATCCCTTCCCGACATGTTTGTGCTTCATCTTCTATCTCTCTCTCTCTCTCTAGCTCTTTGTATGGATGGGAGATAGAAAAAGATGTAAGGAAATCCAGAATGAATGAAACTTAATTTTCCCCCCCAACAATCACGACGAGAATGAGGAAGAAAAAGGTGCGTATACGAGGGAATTAGTTGCGTGATCTCGACTTGATAGATGCAATAAAGATGTCATGTTTCAAACATCAATGGTAAAAGTGATTGGGCTTTAGAAGGGATTGAATGATTCCTGTATAAATTCTATACGAAGCATAATAGTGGGGGATTTAAATGAGTTATCAAGAAGTGCGGACGAGTTAGAAATTCATTATATCTCTCGAAATGTTTATTTATTTATATGAAATTAAATTAGCAAGAATTTATCATAGATTAAACTAAAAATATGCAATCTTACTGATATCACTACTGATAGATGTTTATATCGATAGATATTGTTAATATAAATAAATATAAACCCTCCTACGAGATGGCAGTACTTACCAAGAGGAGGTAGAAGATCGGCTGGAGGGGCTAGGTTGAGACGTTTCACTCTGTGATAGGCTGCTGACTCTTTTTGGCGATTGTATCACGTGAATGGGTTCCGGTTTCTCATGGCACTTGCTTGCCATTCTCTGACGACACAAATCCTGAAATAATAATACTACCGTTGAGCATTGTCGATATATAGATAGTTATACTAACGATAAAACGTAACGTTGCCGTTACCTTTCTGACATCAGTGGTACTGCAACACCACAACCAATGAAACCAACACCTGAAAGCAGACATAGCTTCGTAGAATATAACAGTACGCGAGGGTTGCAATACCAAAGAAGTTTCCTGTTTTGGACATCCGGACAACAAAACGTAACATCCTGTTGAGCCCTAATCTTTACCGGAAGTTAGTAAGTGAACTTTCGTTACGTTGTTATTAAAATTTATATTATAAATGGCAAGAATAAATTCGGTTACGCGCGGGGTCTGTCGAAAGTTCCGAGTCTAAAACGTGTAAGTTTTAACAATTCCTTTCAAGTCCTGGAATAGTTAATGAGATTCTCGACTTCTACCCAGCTTTAAAATTCAGATAACACCCTTAAACACGAGAAAATTTACAAAATTTTAAACGTAGTTACGGTCATTTTAACACTATCAGTATTTACCAATTTCTGCTTTATCTCTGCATCTTTCATCATTACTTGCATCCAAAACGGCTTAATTATTTCTGACTTTTTCAACTAACAATTGAAAATATTACGTTTTTCCAACGTTACCTGCCATAAAACTACAATTAAAACTTGTTTTCTTTTATATAAATTGCTTGACTAGAGAGGAAAGTGAGGCGATTTAACAATGAGAAAATTGCAACTTTTAGCAATTTATAAAATCACCGAATGCAGCTAAGGAATTATCTAACAGAACTGTTGCTGATCGTTTTGGTATCATAACATATGAGCCATATTTGATGCCGTCTCTGTTAATGTCCCTCAGGACTCGGCTCTATTCTCATTCACATAAATGTTCAATTCGCACTTTATATATCTACAGCTTTTCTGATAGTGCATCATAAGCTTCTTTCGCATTTATTCATTCTTTCTCTGAAAGGTTATAGTGGAAATTCTCCTATGAGTTTCCAACAGTTTCCTTTCAAGAAAGAAAGACAGGAGGGAAAAAAAAAGAAAAAAAAAGAAGCTCCAGAACTTCAGATATTGGATGCATGTAGGCGAAATGCATGAATATATTTCTATCAATTTTTTTTCCTTCTATTTTATTTTATATAAAATTGGAAAATGCTGTTATAAATTATTTATAAACTGTAATTAAATTTAATTACGCTATTTTTTGTGTACGGGACCTATGATTTTGTTTGTTTTCGCTAGGTTAATGGGTTAATATTCGTTATAAAATGTTCTAATAACGTTGTTATGTGAATAATTAACAAAATAAATAATTGCAATTAATTTTTTTTTGCAAAAATTTAAGTGATGCAGACGTTTTATGACTGTGTTTTTGGAGACAAATGGTTAGACTGTATTTTGGCTCCTACAAAGACGAGTACGGCAACGCATTGAAACTACCGATCCGCCATATTTAATCCGGCTGTTACTGCTTTACCTGCTTATTGTACTGTACGTTGCGTTACTTTAGGCTAAACAAATACCCCCATTTTTGTATAAAATTATATAAATACTTCATTGTTTTTCAAATCCGTACCTGTATTAGTGAGTGAGTTAGTTGTAGTAACGTAATTATACGAATAATTTACAAAATAAATAACTGCAATTAATTTTTCTCCAAATTTAAGTGACGAGCGCTACTAATTACCACGTAAAATTTATTTTAATAATAAAACTTAAATGATTTAGCTCTGCTAATCTGAGATTAGAATTGCTAACTGTATACAATAGCGTATTCTTATGTTACTGTTTCACATGTTTCGTAATATGTGTTATACTACTTCATATTTAAAAAATACCTTGCCCTTGTGTGCAATTGGATAAAATATAAGTAACTATGCATTCTAACGTGGAAAATATAATTGGCATATAGTAAAAATAGGAAGAAATACGATGGTTCTGTCAAATTCGCAACTCTAGCGGACTATTCACACGAAGTTACTTCCATTTTGAGGGAAAAAATAACTTGCATCCTGGAATTGTGAGGTAGTGTAATGTAGTCTTGATTTTATTCGAATAATTTTTACCTTTGATACATCTTTCACCTTAAAGAGATAGCCTTCAACCTTTGATGTATCGCAGTCTCCGTCGTTTGTTAGAAAAACTTGCGTGATGTTGCGGTTTTAAGTATGAAAATATTCGAAAATACAAAATGGCAATCTCCGAATTCGCCAAACTATAAATATAATGTACAATAAAGTACATGCAGAAACATATATCACGTATAATAACCTTCTTACATGGATCATTACAAGGTAGAGTAAACGTATCACTCCTCCTTTACAAAGTTATGTAAATTTAAATTTCATTTAGTACGTGTAATAGGGTCGAAGAAAGGAAACTGTACTAATGCTGTTACCAAAATCATAATTGATTTTATCTTTTAAAAAGAAAGGGAGGGAGACGTACTGTACATCAGAAGAGGAAAAATTAAAAAAAAAAAAAAAATATGAGTTTAAATCAAAAATCTTCTAGCTGGAAGGTAAAACAAGAAATGTTGCAGCCAATTTTCCGCTTCTCTACGGGCAAACGACTATACTACACCATCCTTAAAAGACTCGACAGATATCCAATAGATTTTAATTCACGTTCCTGGCGTAGAGTTGCCAACCCCGATTCGAAAATAGGATCAGTACAACTCTAGTAATCCTTTTACTCTTCTTCTTTTTTTTTTCCTGAGGGTTGGAGGAGCGAAATCCTCTCTTAAATAGTGCAGCATTTAACAGACATTTCCATTACTTCAATTACGATTTATTCTTAAAAAATAGACTCTTAAAAGGAGTTTGCATAGGGGATAACAAATTCAAACTGACGTTTTCTAAGTGTGAAAACTGTGAAGCTGATCAATTGAATTACTTATGTGGTGCTGTATTAACATAAACAGGTGTGTCACTATCAATACCGAAATAGAAGTGCTTTTCTATTGCCTTTTATGTGATTTATTTTACTCTTTTCTTCGTTTTTAATATATAGAAAATGTAACTTCGTATAAATTAAGATATATTTTTTTCTTAATATAAAAATGTTCTTCCATCAGAAATGATATTTCTTTTTTTTTCCCTGCTGCAGAAAGTAATCTTATTTCAATCAAGAATTGCTAGAAATCTAGTAACTTCTAGGTTTTGTAAAGTCTCCATTAAGAAAATATTTCCCACTGGAGGTTCTTAGAAACCTTATTTCTACCAGGAATTCGAAGTCTATCAAGAAAATTTCCACCAATTCTGACATTTTTTTTCCTTCGTTCTTCTTCTTCTTCCTTCTTTCAGTTCTTCTTGAAGAAATTCTTACTTTTATTTTTGCTCGGAGAGAAAATTTATTAGAATTTTGTAACTTATTTCTGCTGTTGTTAAGAGAAATCTTATAGTTTTATGTTAAGGATGTCTTCTCGAACTAAAATTGTTCGGTTATTTGAAAAATTTTTATGATAGATCTATTGAAAAATGTTTTAAATTAATTTTTGTGTTCGTTAATATAAGAAAAAGCCTCTTTTCCTAGTCTAAATTAGGAAAAAAGCGCGTGTATAACATTAAATAAAGCGAATACAAACAAATTCTGTTAGAAAATTAGTGCCAATTACTAGGAATCGAGTAAGAGAAAACGGAGCTAACGAGTAATAATTTATCAGCCTACACTTATAGTTCGTAGTTTAGATGGTGCTCGAGCAATTTTGGAACCATTTCGAGCCAAAAGCTGTGTAAATTCTTCATAGGCCGAGTGCTGAAAAGTGTTTATAATCACCGTTAACGTCCTCGGTATTTCCTAAAGTAACGAATGGAGACAGTAAGAGTAGAAAATTAATACTAGAACCGAATTTACATCGATACTGTTATAATGAAGAATACGCAATTATTTATACAAGAAAATAAAACGTGAATAAACAAAATACATTCTATTAAAGGGAAATGTTAGAAAATTAGTCCCAATTATCGGTAGTCGAGTCAGAGTAAATGTAGCTTTAAAGTAGAAACAAGAAGTAGATGTAATTACAAGACGAAGAGAAAGAGTTCGAAGGAGACGCCTCTAACTCACTTAAGGACACGAAATGCAAAGGTTTTGGATGTAAAGAAAAGGGGGAATTGGCTAATTCCCTTTCTCTTGAAGCCTTCTTATCATACAAACAGAAGGGGGAGAGCATAGAATTATGCGTGTGGCTCATTTAATAAGATTTGTGAAGGTGGACGGTATTGGAAATTGTGTTTAGTATACCAAGGCGTATTCTGGCATGCAAATATTTTTGTTTGTTTAAAGTTCGTTATACTAAAAACACACATAAACAAAAAAAAGTTCTCACCTGATAATCTTGGCTAGCTTCCNAAATTTTTTAATATGAAGCAAATAAATGGAAAAAATAAAAATTTAATAAATTTTAAATAATCTTCCTATAAAATTATGTCGCTACCTTCATAAAAAATAAGAAAAAAAGCACATCAATATTTTAATCATGGTCAGGGCTGTCGAACGTTTCGCTAATATCCCCGATTTTTGTCTATTTAATGTTATGGCAACACTCCGAATGACAAGTGTAATTTATTATGAGGTCCAAAAGATCTCGACAAGTCACTTATCTTCTAATTTATTAAGGCAAAGGAATCTCCAAAGAAGGTTGTTGGCAGGGGGGAACGAGACCGGCGTGATTTTCAATTTCATTAACCTCTGCAAAGCAAACACACCCCGAAGCCGTTATTAAAAGAAAATAAATAGCCTTGTATCCATCCAATCCTCTTGCAGAAAAGATCTCCCAACGAAGATTAGTTTTAGTAGAAGGGAGGAGGAAGCTCACAACTTCTACTTCGCTTTTAAAAGTTGATTCCCTTCCTATCAACACTATTTTGGAAGTAATATAAAGATGGGGTACAAATACTTATCGAAGTGCTTGATGGAAGTTTTCAGACCATTCAGGAAATTTAGGTAAATAATTGGACGTCGTCAAAGGGAAGCATTTTCCTTTGATAGAATAGCAACTAAAAGTCAAA